ATGCATAAAAGAACATAATTACAGCAATTTAAATGTATGTTTTTTTTTAATTTCAGGGGCTTGGATCCATTGATTACTTATCTAGCTGCCACCCCAATGAGTGATGCCAAAGCACAAGGATTGAAAAAAAAGGTTGTCAAATTATTTCTGTTGCAAACAGGTTATAAATATACTTGTTTTCTAAATATTTTCAGCAGTTTTGAAGTCATTTTTTAACAACCAGAATGACAGAATAAAGCCATTGATCTTGTGGCTCATGGTATAAACAATATTCAAATTATTATTTATGAATTGACCTTATTGATTTAAATGCAAAAAAACATTAAATTAAAATGCTGAAAATAACCACATGTTCAGAGTTAGCTGTTTTGTTATACAGATTTTAGTTTGAATGTTCCTATTTTATTTTACATTTCAATGTATGTTATTTAATAGATGTTTGCTGCTGTTGGCTGTTATAGTTATTTTGGATGAAATCACATTGTTTTACAGTAAGTTTGTTACAACTTTATATCTTTTCACATATATGTTATTGTATTGCAACTGTGTGTTTTATTTTCTAGCTAAGATTTCAAAATTATTTTTAAATTCAATTTCATGTTAATTAAAACATTTAATTGATAATTTTCTGTATAAAAATACTTTGTCTGAAAAATATCTTGTTGATTTAATTTACCAACAAACAATAATGAAACTTTAATTATTTCAGATTGCCACACTGAAGTTCATATCTATTACCTACATAATGATGGACATCATTCCAATTGTGACTCAGTTGAATCTTTTCTTCCAAAAGGAAATTACAGATGTAGCATTAGTCAAGGTAAAATTCGTTTAAAAGTTACTTACAAAACTTACTAATGCTTGAAGTATTGATTTATACTTGGTGAGTATAAAAATAATTCAGATTGCTTCATTCTTTAAAACCATGCAATAAAACTATTTAAGAATCAAAACTTTATTAATAGAAACATTATTATAAATAAACATTATTTTTGTCAGGTGAAGATTGACCAGACATTGTCAGACCTACAGCAGTTGATAAGCACTCCAGGATGCCATGAGCAGAAGTTAGCTGAGGTCATTACAGACACTTGCTTCAAGGAGCACATTATCTCCCAGTGTCCAAAAAGTGACATAGCTAGTGCCAAGGAGAAATTTATCACTGCACTTGTTAATAATATTGAGAAAAGGTAATTCATTGCATTCCAAGACATTTTCCACACTAGTATAAAGTATCTAAAATGCAGATAGTATTTTTACATGTTATTATTTCATATGACATATAAAAACTATAATTGTTTATACATAACATAACATATAGGTAAATTAAAAAATAGTATAATTCTGTTTTTCTTGTATAATTTCAGGTTTCCAGATACTGATCTTCTATCCTCATTTGGGGTACTCTCAATGAGGCCCATCACACTGCTGTCAGATGTTGAACTGAAAACCTGGGGTGATGAAAAAATAGACATTCTGGTCAATCATTTTGGAGAGGAGAAAAGTCACAAATGGAAGGTTGATGGGGTTCAGCACACTAAGACCAGCTCTCCAATCATAGATCCAGATGCAACAAAAAATGAATGGAAACAGATTAAGATACTTGTTAAAGCAGAAATGTATCCCCGTGATGATCTCTTTAAACTGTGGCATCTTATAAATAAGTTTCATGGTGAACAGTTCCCTAACCTTTTGATATTGGCCAGTCTTGCCATCATATGTCCTGTAAACACTGCAGGCTGTGAGAGGGGGTTTTCTGTTCAAAATCAAACTCTTACAGCTTTGAGAAACAGGCTCAATCCTGACACTCAGGACCAAATCATGAGGATAAGGATAAATGGCAAGCCTAGGGAAGATTTCCCATTTGAAGATGCTTTAAAGGCATGGAAAGCAGCTGTACCTAGAAAATTGTTTAACTGACTGAAATAGAAATGAATGAAATATTTTCCAAACAAAAGGGATATTAATAAAGTAAACTTGAAAGTGTCAATAATGTTTTATTATTCATTTGACTGTTACAAAAATTGTCTTAAGTTTTTTTTTGTACTTTAGGACAAATGACCTAAAAAAATATGCCCATTTAGGACATCTGTCCTAAGGAAAGTGTGTCCAATCTGAATCACTGTATACTAATGATTTGTCCCCAGACAGACTAATAATACAAAGGAGATGTTAACATGAATCATTTAATAGGTATATCTCTTTGTTCCTTTCAATTTATTCTAACTAAAATTATCTGCAATAATTAAGATCAATTAAAGTTCAAGGATTAGTAGGAGAACTATCTCACACTTAAGACTTCTAAAGGTTTTAGTACATTTATATTTTTGTGGGAAAATAGCTTGAAACTGTATGAATTATGATGACATTCTTTTTACATGTTATTTATATTTTATATATATCTCAGCAAACTAAAATTTAAAAAAGGATTGACATTGATTAACATACATGGATAAAATACTTTTTTGGTTTTGCCAAAAGTTCAGATTTCACAATAACTTTATCTTATAATTTATATTGCTTTTGAATGTTTTCTTTATATTTCTACATTTATATAATTTTTATTTAAGGTTGTGACAAACAGCCCTGCAAGATGTCTTTTTTCCTCAAAGAAAGACTCTGGTACAGAGCCATCTAAAGGTATGTAAGCCATAACTTTTTTAGTTTTTTATGTTATAAATGATGTCTTTTTATGTTAAGAAATAAACAATAAAAAACAGTTTTTACAAATGACTCAAATTATACACTGATGATTTGACATCGTATGTTAATCATTGGTAATGGATTGCTAAAAAGACAAGCTAATGTGAATGCAACAAGATTGAAGTTTTCTGTTTTCCTTTTTTTTTCATATTAGCAAATACATTTACAGTACAAGCTCATGAGGTTAAATTTTGGTCATGTCATGATTAAGGTCACCGGAGCTAAAAAGAGAATTTTCTACTTTTTCTTAAGTAAAAAGTAATGCTATGTGTTTATATTTGTCAAAGAGCCACCCTGTATAAGTGTAAGTCATTTTTTCTTGTTTTATTTCAGGAACTACGACAGCTTCATCTCCTCCACCACCTCCAACACAGAAACCAGCTGCTAGCAACACAGTTTCTGATAAATACCAATGTAACGAATATTATGAACATGATGAAATGAGCTTTTATCAGTGGGAAACTTCTATGTCCAGTAAAAGAGTAGGACAGCCCTCGTCAAAAACAAAGTGAATTGACAAAAAAAAAAATGAACTGCTTTTTCAAGTTTTTTTATTTGTTTAGTTTGCATAAATGGTTTATTAAAACAATAAAGAAAAATAAATGTTATAAACATTGAAAACAGTGTGGATTTTTTTCCTTATGTGATTTTTGCATTGAGAGACTTGTTTCAATATTGAGGTGCTTAAAATTAAATAATAATAAATCATTGATAAGGAATATTGGAAGATTATACAGTGCAAACTCTTCATAGCAACATTCTTTTGAAAACAAAGATTTTCGTTGTTGTTGATAGGTGTAGCTTAAGAGCGGTTAAGATATATTGTGAAGTCTTACTTCGGGAAGAATTGAAAAAAAATGTTGTAGAGAGGTAATTGCTCTACAATGGGTCGTTATGTAGAGGTTGCACTGTATTGACACTTTATCTTTTTGCACAGTTTAATAACATATTAAATGAACATAATGCCTCAGAAATTCATACTTTTTTAACACTTTAGAAATGTCAAACATGTGTTTAATAGTGTTTTAATAATGAATCAAGAGCATGTTAGATGTTTGCTACTGAAGAAATTAGTGCTTAACATGCAGTAACGTGTCGTAAAGATAGCAAAATGTAGATTAAGTAGTTATCTGTCTTCCATACAAAATACTTATTCACTATAAGTATACCAATTGACAAAAGGGGCAAAAGAAACAAAAGATAAATCATAATTTTGTAACATGACAAATGAGTATTTTTTGGAAACTGTAACCAAAAATAAAATGGTTTTGGGAAATAAAAATGATAGCATTTATCAGGCATGATGGGCCTTTAAGTTAAAATTCACATAAAAAAATGTTTCTATAAAATCTGTGTGAACAACATACATTCAGTGACCTAAATGTCTGTTTCATGTACATGTACCTGGAACTGGCACATACATTTTAAAATATAAGGTGTTAATAAGAAATACTGATTGTATCCTTATTCAACAGCAATCCAAAGTTTAGATTAAAAGGTTTTGTAAATGTTAGAATGTTAAAATATTGTCAAAATATTTTAAATATTAAAGTCTTTTTGGATTTCAAATGCAGATATTGGAAAAATGAAAAGAAAAATCAAAGAAAACCCAATTTGTGAAAAACAAATAATGGCACTTATAATTAGAAAAATACACATCTGGTGGCTTTCAACATATTCCTTAGTTACCGTATTTCCAGCCAGAGCAAGGTTTTGAAAATTGAGCCAACTCTCATTAATTTTTAATTAACATGAAAGCATGTGAAAGACAAAATTCATATATTGACACTCACTGGATTTTTTTTCTTTTTAAAAATATACAATTGACTTTGATTAAATTTTCACAAATTATCAATGAATGTAACCTTAAGACATGTAGATTGTTTAATTTTGATAGGAAAGACTTATGTTGGGCAGGTAGCAGCAAACCATTGAGCAAGTTAACTGCTAGTCAGACAGAATGGCATTTATGTAAATCAACCAGTACTAAGTCATTTTTACCTAATTTCCCCATGTGCGGACGCTCAAAAATATGATAAGTTCGTTCCAGAACAGAATAGGTTCTATATAAAATTTGTGTTAACTGTTATTTATATAACACAATAAGCTTATATTACACTGTTAATATCAGAAAATCTTATTACAACACAGTCGGTACGTACATCGTGGTGAACTGTTCACTAACTTAACGCCAATCATGTCATTAAATTCCATATTACACCGATGACGTCAAAACGTATGCTGACGTCACAATTTTATATAATAATTGGTCATTTTATTCATTACAGTATTGACAATTATACAATTAGATTGCGGTTAAATTAGAATGATCTTGACGGATGTCTGTCATGTTATCGGAGGTGAATATCGGCGGTGAAGAGCCGAAAAGAATTGGTGTTTCCTTGCCCGGTAGCATACCCGTGCCACGTGCTTTATAAAACCAGCCATCAAGGGAGACAATCACAAAGATAGCAATAATCATTAATAGTAATACAAAGCACACAGCAAAACATCGCTTCTGAAGCTTTTTCTCGGCTGGACACTGAAATAGAAAAGAACAGTACGTTTTAAATATTATCCGTGCAATCTATGATTATAATTTTTAGTATTACGTAATTGCTCGTGCTCATCCGCTTCATTTTGGTGTAATAATTGCCCACCTTAAAGAAATCGACAGAAAATCTTACTTTTATGCGGGTAACTTGATGTGAAACTATTATACATGTATGTAGTTAATATTATCAATATCATTAAAACTATAGTGAATATTGCTTGGCAAACTTAAGGATCGCAGAGATCCGGAAGTGCCCAACATGATTCACTTTAAACGGTACAATCCACGGGAATAGATCAAAGTACCCTATGTATATGCAAGTGTTCATCCGTAGCTGTTCTACAGAAATTAGAAACTTCGACGGGAGCGATAGCGATTTTAATTTCTGTAAAACAGCTACGGATGAACACTTACATATTTAGTGTCAAGCTTTATTTGACCCTTGATTACGTCACTAGGCAGTTTTATGAAACACTATGAAAAATAGGTGACTATTAACGGGATTCAATATAGTATCGACTTCTGTTCTTCATTGAAAATGATATGTAGATATATATAAAGAATGTAATACGTACCCAAAAATGTGGATCTATGAAAGTATCGGGTTTAAATTTTGGCCACTGCCAACTTGAGTCTTTGTTCGGATTCAGTTCTGCCGTGGTCTCGGCGTTAGTTTTGATAGTTATGTTCTCACCATTTGTTAACGAATGTCCCTTGAAAATTAATTAAATTAAAAATTGCCAGCCACATGTATATATCTTTATGGACTTCATAGACTTTTTAAAGAAATGTTTAGATAGTCGTTTGCATGTGCATAAGCATTGCAGTCACTTTACTTTTTTATCGATGCGATTATCCTCCCTTGATGTAAAAGAATGGCGGGCGAAATAAATTTTTATTAATATTTTCCAATAAGAAAGAAGGAATGTATATCTGTAAAGCTATAACTCTCAAGATTATGGCTAGAAAATATAAATATGTAACTATTAAAGTATTCTAAAAAAAGAATTAAAGAAATTAAAATTATTGAAAATTGCATTCATCTGCAATAAACAATTGGTCGAATTTGCTATGAAAAGTCAAATCTCTTTAAATAATTATATTATAATGCTACATATTATACATATATATAGTTTTTATACATCCCTTGGAAGCAAATTACATGAAAATTGCCGACTCGGTTTGACTGAGTCTTTACATGAGGGATAATGAGAAAGCCTAACGTTCCAAACAACCGTTTATACAGGGCTATATAGCCTGTCAAAAATATTTATAACTAATAATATAAGCGTGACAGTCGACGAGACATACGTGCAATATCATAAAGAAACGGAAAGAGAAATGTACAAGTTACCACCGAGCCCTTTCTGTTATTGGGGTTTCGGCGTTCCGGTCCTCTTTGAAAATCTTTTGGAGAGATTTCACGAACTCATATGATTGCACACAAAGTAAGCGAATCTTCTTATTTGTCAGATGTATAGTTATAATCAATTATAACGACGGAGGTTTACCTGATATACTGTACTTTTCCTCCGTAGTTGAGATTTTTGCTCTCCGTTTTTAGCAAGTTCATCGGTGTGCCATACAGTTGCACTATCACAGCCATTTTCTACGTTGTTGTTTAGAATTGTATTTTTTAACTGAAACCTATTACTCATTATACCGTTGAGCATGGACGTTTTTTCAGTCTTTGTAATGGAACCAGGTGGCATAGCGTTGACACGTGACAGAGTCTCTGCGTCAATCTCTTCATAATCGTGCACGGAATTCACGCGTCTGTCATGCTGCTTGTAATATCTGCCATTTGGCATGTAACTTGGCACGTATACATAGTCGTCATTGTCGGGCACTGGAACGCTGGCAGGAATTCGTTGACGTTGCACGGCGTCCTCGTAAATGGGCGGCAGGTCACTAATATAACTTGGACGGTAATGTTTCAAGCTTGACCTGTGAATGCCGGTTATCGCAAACGTCGTCGCCATTTTGGCATGCCAGCTCTGAAAGTAAATGATGTGTTCTTAATAAACGTTTCATGTATAAAATTTGTGATGAATATAATAACGAAGAAAGAAAATACTAAAAGCGTATTGATGTAAACTTTTGACGCAATGGACATAAAAGTCGAAATTAGTTTAATATATTTCAATGTTAAAGACAATACTAAAAGAACAAAAAAAATGTTCTACATGCATTAAAATACGGCCTTTGCAGTTGAACCTATTTCAACGCACCAGCACCAAAACAAGTGAGCATTCCTATAACCGAACAGTACCAATATTTAAGAAGTACTAAACAAAACAGCAACAGCAAATCAAATGAAAATATGTAAAAGAAAACCATAAAGATAAGAAAGAACACCATGAAAATCAAAACCCAAAAAGTAAAAGAAATAAAAAAGATACCGTTTAGCTACTTAATATATTCGATAACCAATCCCAAAATAACATAATGTATTGCGAATGAATATTTAACATATTTTTAAAACTGAAATGGAAATATTCCGTTTTTTTTTTTTAAAGTTGTTGTTTGATTATAAATTTAAATGTTTGTTTTATGCTGAAATCGGGGGAAATGTACTTGTTTTCCCCGTTGGCGGGTGCAGCGTAAATTTATGTTAATGATATGGATATGGGCTAGCTTAATGTCTAAAAATAGATGATCATGTTTATTTATTGGCCTAAAATCGTTTTAAAATATACAATATTAAAACAAAAAAGGTATAAATTAGCAATATCGGAAGCAACGGTAAATTGCCACAAAGATATGAATATGCTAATGTTGAAAACTTGTAAATTTATAAATACATTATTATCATCAACATTATTTTATAATCGAGTAACAATGTATATTTGACCGCTCGCAGCATCAAATGTGCATGTATATTTATGTATGTTACTAGTATATATATAGTCATACATGTATATATTCGTCACCATATATATGTTGATATTAAAGCCTCAGGGTAACTATTAATTCGACACTATATTAACTTATCACATTTCATCTCTTGATCACCTGGCACATGGACTGACTACAAACTGGACACTGTAAATTCAATGAACGCATTGAGTTAAAGGCACATTATGCCTTAGACAAATAAATTTTCATTTCTTTAGAAATCGATAAAATTTTGTAATGTTTGAATAATGGTTTTAGAGAAATGTTTCATGCTTTTTACCTGAAAAAATATCGATATATTTATAAAATGATTTGTCATAAAATAGCAAAATGTTAACAAAGTAGTATTTTGCCTTCCCTACAAAATACTGATTCACTATAACTGTACTCATTGCCAAAAAAAGGAACTGATGAAAAAGATGGTTCAGGTAATTGGCCAATGAGTTTCTTAATTTTTGAATACATTCTGTACTTCATAAGTAAACCAAAATTGAAAATCTTTAAAAAAAATAAAAATTAAACCAATTCTGAGGCATTATGGGCCTTTAAATAAATCGTAAATCATAAACACGATATTGTAAAACCAAAACATGTGCAGCTTTTCTGCGTAAGTCCGATCTTATCATCAATGTTTTCTTTGGACATAGTTTGTAGATATTGTTAAATGGGCGAAAGGTTTCTTGTCAATTTTATAATAAAGTCATTGTTGTTATTGCTGTTGTTGTTGTTGTAAAAGTTACATATACTATGACGTCAACCTAAACATCCGTGACACTGACCCTGCATTATAATCGGCAAATGATTAATAATAAAGATATGAAATATATACAGCAAACGTAAATTTTCTTTGATTTTTTTTGTAGTGTCATTTTATTAATGTAAAAATTCGTGCCGGTCTTTTTTTTCTTCGTAAGCTGTCAATCCGTTTGAGGGCTGCGCTTTTAATAAGAGGTGCGTTTGCCTTGCTCATATTTGCTGTAAGAAGTACGTAACATCGCAAGGATAAAACTATTACATATTCTACATGAACAACAGATTCCGTGCCTCTTTTCCATTGAAATATTACTATTATTCGGAACACCTCACCGATTACCCATATAGTCTTTATAATTAGTGAAATACATTTTGTAAATTAAATACAGTGGGACCAATTGACCACGATCATCAGGGCTTGGTGATAATGCAAGACTCTGATGATAATAATTACAGGCTTCAAAGACAGTAGCCAAAACTTTTGCCAATTTCGATCCCGTTTTTTTACTAGCATTTTTATGTGCGAACATAAAGAATATAAAACTGTTGCTATGGTTTTTGCAGAAAGCCCTTGCATCACGGTAAATTTCACGAAAAAAGGAGAAGATTTAAACCATCGCTCAAATTTACTTATATACAGTGACATGCCTTGTGTTATTTCTTTTTAAACATGCCAGAGAACGCCAGAGAACAGAGAGTCACTAACTGCACAGGTGATCTTTCTGCTTCTGTTTTTTTCTCAAAAGAGTCTAACTTGAGTTTTATTTTCATGATAAATAATGTATATTAGGAAACATGTACTGTGCGATCTACCCCTAAAAACGCCAAAAAAACAACAAAATTGACAATGTTGCCAGGCTCGGTTTGGAAAGTACAAGCTACCTTCGACGCCCCATAGCACCGATTACTAATATTCTTCGTAAAGTTCATAAATAAAACTATTTTTGAAAATAAGTGATCGATTTGATTAATGTTTATGTTTACATTAATACATTGATTGATAAAGATTGAGGGCTATGACAGCTGACTGCTAGCTTTACAAGTTAATCTGATGATATTGATGGATTGTTATATGATACGTAGCTCATCGTTCAATCCATGAACGGGACAGCAGTTGAAGTCCACGACAACAGTCGTACTAAATAAATGTATAGCAGCTTGGTGGAGTAATGAAATTTGAGAATTTGTCCGTTTTCTAAATTGCCTAATCAAATTTCTTATAAAATAAAAATAACAATGAAAAAGGACTAGTGACATGTGACATGCCTTATACCGTCGACCCTTTAATTAAATAAATATTTATTGTTAAATATATCGATGAGATTAGCTAATTTGCTAGTCAGTGAGGATGTCCCATAACACCCACCTCCCCCCTCCAAAAAACAACAACAACAAAAAAAAAAAAACAAAAAAACAACAACAACAAAAACAACACCCATATCCATCAAAGAGTTTGGCTATGTTTGAACTCCTTATTTGTATTACAGATTTAGCCGGATATCGTTAGTTTCACCAAGGCCTAGTGATGGCCATTGCACTGCAAGTTGTTTGACTGTAAACTTTTATATTAAATCCGACTTTTAAATCAAACAACAGTTTTTACACCGCATTATAACCAACAGTCGTTTGCATGTAACAAGTCTTTATACTCAGTAATATTCAGGGGACCTCCGAATTTATATCGGTATATCCGGATATCGTTATATCCGGGAGGCAAAAATTTGATAACAAAAATCGGGACCGTCGTTATTAGAGTTTATATATAATACTGTACAAATTGCTTTATGTTAAAATTAGAATTTATTAACAAGAGTATATAAATAAAGTGTATGTAGTTTTATATATATACAGGGCTGCAGTCGATATTTGAAAAAAATAAATATTTTTTTTCTCTCAAAAGGAAGTTTGCTGTGTTATAAATTCGTTATAAATGTTTCTGACAGGTTGCTTGACCGTGTAAAAATGGTTGTTTGAAGTTCGAGTCTTGTGGCTCGAGTTATATTTCCAAACAACTATTTATAAAGGGACATATAACATGTCAAAAAATTAATATTACTAATAAAAGTAATGATATAAACGTCACGATTATCCAATGAAAAGCGACGTTACAAATGTGCAGTATTATAAATCGTTACATACGTGTATTGTAAAGCTAAATGTAAACGACAGTATTGTCCGCAGCAAAACGACGTGTCGTATCTTTCTAATTTTTATTGTTGCATTCGCATTTTAGTGATATCGGTTAGACACTGTGATATCTTTGAACTCTAAATGGCCCTTCGCCGGACTTTCGGGACGAAAGGCGTAAAGATTCCACAGTGTGTGACCATGAATAATATTTATTTTCTGCCTCTCTTAGTTCAAGGTTGTATAATTTATGTTTCATGCTATATTACAAGTATGAATTGATGATCTTATAGGGCGTAGGGTCACACTTTCTTTTTCATTATTTTGTTTCCACGTAAACATGTCGCTAATGACAGATTTTTAATTACGCAGTACATGTACTTAATTCAGGATAACACACTTAAAGTATTTCCCTTTTATTAGATCGTTTCTGTAAAAGACGTAAAGAAAACCCAAAAAAGGAAGTATTATGCATATGAATATAATTATAACGTCAGTGCTTTTATATTGGTGACGTCACGACTCCAGCAATACATGGTATTGAAAACGGAAATTTCTCCGGAAACATGTATTACTTCATTTAAAAATGCTGTAATTTCATTAGAAAATCTTTTATTTCTATGGAAATGTTTATGCGACTCTGCATGTGACTAAACAAGGACGTCACGTGATAATAAACAAGTTACAATATCATTGCAGCCACAAAACCTAGTTACGCCATAAACTGACAAGAGATGATTTTATTTTTATGTTATAAAATTATAACGATGTAAAAACCCGCTTAATTATTGCTCAAATTTTGTCTGATATTGCTCAAATTTAGTCTGATATGATAATTTTCTGTTTATCTAGTCATAGCAAATTTGTATCATGTCATTTGTTCATGTTATATAGCAAATTTTGTATTACGTCATTTGTTCATGTTTAATATGTTGTATTCTGATGCCTCTCAGAGGCCTAGAATTTGAAAATAAAAGTTCAAAAAAAAAGTAAAATGTATAATTATCATGAAAAAAAGGTCAGATGTTAAAATGATGCGTATGTAAAATCACTCAGTTAGCAAGCAGGGAAAATGTTGTCGTTCAAGTTATCGATTAGCTATTAGTATTCAAAACTATATACATTTTGTAAACTTAATTAATGTAACACACATATTAAATATGAAAACAACAACAACAACAACAAAACCCCACAAAAAACCAACAGAAACAGAAAAAAATCATCATCTTCATCATCAACAACAGCAGCAGCAGCAGCAGCAGCAGCAACAACAACAACCAAATATTGTACCTAAACCATTTTTCTTGAAGAAAAAAAACACTAAATTTTTATTCAGTACCGTCCCTGACTCGCGATATATAATTTAAACTTTAAACTTAATTCAAAATAAATAAAAAATATCAGTAGAATTTGAATTTCAAAATGTTTCGTCATATCCATTTACGATGAAGGGATACATCTATTTAGCAAATTTGATTTTCTTAAAGATAAATCAATTTTCTACGTTTAAAATTACATTTAAAGATTATAAAGCTATTTATCTGCTTCCTGTAGTTTTTAAATAATTGTTTGAATTTTAAAAGATAATACCAAAATACTTGTAAGAAATACATTTGTATTTTTCGTCAAAGCAGCATGCTTCCAGATTCATGCTAATTTTCACTTTGAAAATTTTGAAAATTAATTTAAAAGTAAAAGATTGTGAAGGAACAAACAAGGTTATTTACGCAATGCAAACGGCGCTAAAATTAAGGTGTGCAAAATAGTCCTTGTTGCGTTAGTCACGCAGTAGAAATATACGATGATAAATACTGCTAAATTAGTCATTAATTGCACATAATATGACAAAATATTACTGGAATCTTGAATCTTTTTACATTTCTTAAAATTTTTTAGAACATTTTTTCAAGTTTAGTTATTTTGGCTCATCTGGAGGCATGCAACTTTTAAAGCGAATAGTGGATACATTAAATATATGCTAAGCAGTTAAAACCCTACTTAAAATAGCACAACGATATTTTGTTTCGGAACAATATTCATGTGTCAATTAAAAGACACGTATTCTATATACGTTACAAAAATTAACTTTGAATTATGGAAAAATATACTTTTGCAATACTTTATAAATTTCGTAAAAAAAATCAAATGTATAGCTTTATACACAAAAAATAGTAAATTAATTATAGTTTCGTTTGGAAACAAATCCGCCAAATTCGATAGCTCTAAATTCAAATATTTTCTTCTATTATTATTTACATGGCACCAGTCGAAATGGAAAGAAAAAAGAAAGAAAGAAAAAAATACAAAAACAAATTACGCACCTGTAGTTAATCAAATAAAAAAACCAAGTTGATCGGCCAATCCGTTTTTATATGAATAAACACTTTATTTAGCACTTTTTATGTATACATCGTGATTCAAATTGCAATATTCAAAGCGCGTGTACTATTTGACTGTATCAGTGCCCTTTAACACCGCTGTAATTAATTTCTGTTCAACCTCCATCCAGGGGCAATTCATCACTGTATATCAATGATATATCAAACAGTTTAAATGTTAATACCTCTCTATAAACATTTCCAAAATTATATGAATTAATACGCGTGAACTTTTTCAATATAATCACGATTTGACTTCGTAAATCTTGTTGAAAATGCGGGTTATAACGGGAGGCGCGTGGGTTTGACAAGGTGGCTGGGTCGTTTATGGTGGCGTGTGGGTTTGACATGGTGGCTGGGGTGTTTAGTTTATGGCTTATTTATTGAAGAAGACCTATCAGGCATGCAGTTAATGCAGTGGTCAGGAAGGCCTGACTGGTGTTAAATCGCCTAATGGAAAATGTCAAAGTGTCGGAAAAATAAATAAATAAAAAGTAAATTGTGTACTTAATTTGGACAGGTTGTTTTTTTCTCTCTATATTTATCGCAAACAAATTTGTTTGCATTCTTTGTATATTTTGACCATATCTTGGTTAAAGATAAAAAGGTCTCGGTTGGTATCTTAAGACAACATGCTAAATACATGTGAAATTTAAAAGTTAATTACTGTATATGAGCATGTACATTGTATAGTGTGGGGGTGCTGCTGGAAATAAGGAAAAAAAAATCATCATCATCATTATCATCGTCGTCGTCGTCATCATCATCATCATCATCAATAACAACAACAGCATCAGCATCAGCAGATGTGGGATAAGGTTACTACAGGCAGTGGCTGTTTATCAGAGTCGAAATTATCGTGGAATATTTTTTTAAAATGCTAAAGTAATGAATAGCCTAACATTATTAGTTTACTTTACATTTTCAGTTTACACCGGAAACAAAATTGTTTGCACACGTCATTGGGCAAAAATACAGGATGTTTAGGCTTCTGCAGACAGAAAATATTAAGATAACTTTAAATACAGTTTATGCTGACCGCCAATATCCGAAAGACCAAGACTTGTGTCAGTTCGCGAAGCCTGCTCTAAATACAAAAGGAATGCATAAAAGTGCATGGGTTATTCCTTCAAACGCACCAAAAGGTCTTTTTAGAGCAGATATCAGATAACGATTTAACTTGGTTCGCAATACAACTAATAGACCTTAATTATATTGTACAAGGGCATCATGTTAATGACATCCTGGTCTTGACGAATGCAAACAAAGGCCAGAATCTTATAGGACGCAAAACAACAACAACAAAACTGTTCATATTTTCATTTATGTATTCAAATGCGAGACAGTCATATTAATATAAAAAAACAATTTAATTCATTTCATTATCTTAAAAATGAATAAGTAACTAAAATTACTGACAACTTGACAAAAAACAACAACTTATTTTCTAGCCTTAGCCTCAATACCACACCAAATTTTAACTCATGCGACTAGTGCAGACCAAGATCAGCTGGCACATACGTCACATGCGGTCAGATCATGGTCTGCACTGTTTGCCATTCAGCCAGTAAATGTTTTGACCCAGTCCCCTCCCCTAAAAATGATAAATGATTTTGTCCCGATTGAAAGATGGACAGGTCCATTTAAGATATTAAGCTTGGTTAATGTAAATATATACATGTTTCATTGCGGTGATATTATTGACTTTATGTAATTAACAATTTCCGTTTAGATGTTAATGTGCACCGTGGAGTCGCCATTAAACCAAACGTTATTTTTGCACTCAATAATCTTTTGCAATGCTTAATTTAACAATACACGATGCAGTAAATACTTTTGTGCACTTTTAATGCCCCCGGGACCAAAAACCAGACAGACCTCGGAGAGATAAAGGTTTTTATGTCACAAATTAAACCCCTTAACACATTAATACGAGACATCATTTACAAACAACGTGTGGACGATTGAATAAAAGGTGCTCAACGAAATGTAACATTTTCGAATGTACTAAATGATGATTTTTTTATTTAATTGAAGCCAATTACACGCAAAATATAACGACAAGGTTATGTATTACATCAGTTTTAAACTAGCCATATATATAAAAAAGAAGTCGTATATATATAATATTATGCAAACATTTTTGTTGGTTTTGAAGAATATTATATCAGATAAAAACTAAATATTTGTGGATTTTAATAATGGTTTATTACACTACACTACATTTGTATTTACAATGTTTAATGATATGGTTTTTTTCCGATAAAATATTGAAAAAACGAACAACCAATATAAACAAACAAAACGAATAACAAAAAAGAACAACAACAAAAATACACGCACAAACAAGAACACACGCGAAATACGAGAAAAAAACCCCACAAAAAACAAGATTTAATTCATAATTATAGAAGCCATATCGTACTTTTAGAGAAATTGAATTTTGATTCAAAGAAGAATTCATTAAAGATAAACATTTGCATTACAGTAATACGGAAAGTCATTTCCTGCCAAAAAGTTTAGTAGTAGAAAAAACAGAAGCAGGAGAAAATTACATAATTATGTAAATATTTGTTTCCTTTTCTCTTTTTTTACAATAAAGATAGCAATTCTGGTGAGACATACATCAATTTATACATCTTTAGAAAACAATAAAACAATAAAAAACTATATACATGTGCTACAAGATAGTTAACGTTGCATAGTCGTTTTGACAAATAGTACATACAAAATGTACAAAACAAATCCTCAGTGTCAATAAAAAATGCAGAGTTGGAAAATGCCGTAAAATATGCCTGATACAAATGACAAATGAGTTATGCACACAGTGGTATCAACTTAAGATGCCAATACATTTAAGTTCAGTTTAAGTTGTTGATGAAGATATGTGAACTCAAGTTGTTGATGCAGATATGTGAACTTAAATTGTTGATACAGATATGTGAACTTAAGTTGTTGATGCAGATATGTGAACTTAAGTTGTTGATGCAGATATGTGAACTTAAGTTGTTGATGCAGATATGTGAACTTAAGTTGTTGATGCAGATATGAGAACTTAAGTTGTTGATGCAGATATGTGAACTTAAGTTGTTGATGCAGATATGTGAACTTAAGTTGTTGATGCAGATATGTGAACTTAAGTTGTTGATGCAGATATGTGAACTTAAGTTGTTGATGCAGATATGTGAACTTAAGTTGTTGATGCAGATATGTGAACTTAAGTTGTTGATGCAGATATGAGAACTTCAGTTGTTGATGCAGATATGTGAACTTAAGTTGTTGATGCAGATATGTGAACTTAAGTTGTTGATGCAGATATGAGAACTTAAGTTGTTGATGCAGATATGTGAACTTAAGTTGTTGATGCAGATATGTGAACTTCAGTTGTTGATGCAGATATGTGAACTCAAGTGGTTGATGCAGATATGAGAACTTCAGTTGTTGATGCAGATATGTGAACTTCAGTTGTTGATGCAGATATGTGAACTTAAGTTGATGATACAGATATGTGAACTTAAGTTGCTGATGCAGAAATGTGACCTTAAGTTGTTGACATAATTAAATTATGGTATTTTCTTTGGTTGATGATGTAGAAATTTTACCTTCTGTTTTTGATAGCTTCTTTAGTAAATAGCGTCTTTGTTTTGTCTTTATCAATTAATTAATTTGACAAAGATCAGGATTGGTTGTAATATTTAATCTATCTATATATATTCATAATATCAACATTAAAATCATAAAAAAAATTGACATTCTTATTCTATGTCAACAGTGTATAATACAATAATTATTACACGGCATTCTGATTTTACACACAAAAGAAACAACAATAATTACAAATGCAACATTTGTTGACATAGCCTAGCTTCGTATTCATAAATCATTTAAAAATACACTCAAATGTATTTTAATCATGAAAAGTATATTCATATGACGGAGACGACAATAAGACTGTGTTTCCTTTTTAATAAAAAAATAACAGTTTATTCGTAACAATTCGAACACTCTTTCAGAAATATATTTTTTTATTTCTTAGTAAAACATAGGCAATGCAGAGGCATAGATAATTTTCCTTCAGGTCTAATTGTCAATGCATTTTCTTGTTGTTAATACATTCGTGAATTACTCTGGACTCAAACTCAACTCATCTAAATACGCAACCCGGCATGGCTCATCCATAAAGGGAACCATGTAATCCTGGGCGCGTGGTACCAGCTTCCATGCACTTCCGTCCTCTAGACTACGTACATAATTGTCCCTCTCTCCATTCATTATTGATGTTATTTTTTCAATTACCTTGCTTAGGGGATCTCGACATTGGACGTTTGCCCTCAAGGTGTTCCGAATATGACCAGGCTGGTGATGAATGTCACAGATGGTTACACATGTTCCAAAAACACTTTTGATAGCACTATAAATTACATTATCTTTTTTTTTCATTTTACGGTCTAATTCTGGTTTGAAATCATACTGGATATCAGCGCACTGCTTCACATGATCAAAGAAACGCTTGTAAGTGTCACCATCTGTGTCAAAATGAAGCATGACAGGACCAAGCATCATAGGAGAGTATTTCCTCTTGGAGTTCGTGTCAACGAAGTTGGTGTTCCGAAACACAAACATTGTGACGTAACAGTTCCCTAGGCTGAATGATCTTTCTACGTGAAGGGAATGTAGTTGCTTTTTACAGAGGGTCAGCAATGCTTTTCCATACAAGTACACAGACGGGGAACGACCATTTCCAAAGTCAACCTTCTTGACGATGGTGTCGGACTCAGTTGAATACAAATTGAAAATCTTCATACTTTCCTCGCATGCTCTTTCTAACTGTTCCATTTCAATTTCACAGACGACAGGTTGGGTACGATTTCGACATTCTTGAAATGGTTGAGAGCACGATTCTGGATGAGTGGAGTTGCTGTGCTTTTTACACGAATCTAAGGTACAATGAGAGTTCTGTTTGAATTCAGATTTAAGGCATTCGTCCGCGTCGTGAATTGTCTTTGAAAATGGCATCTTTGTGTCTTTACTCAAATCTGATGTGTTACCATCTACGTCGTCATCATATCGGCTGACCTCTTCCATGGTGGACTTAACGTGTTCTTTTTGATGTTTCTTTTTAACGCTGTCAAACGTCACACTCACGTTTATTGACGTCACACGAATTGACTGGTTGTCCATGTCAACCGACAAATGACCCGGTTTTGATTTCCTCTCTAAAATAACTGGTGATTTCTGTAAAAGATATATAATAGAGTTTAACTGTATCAACATTATCCTTATATTAAACTGCTGCGCCGATTTTTAACTGCTGGATGAAGATGGACTAGCAGATGAATAATACGTTGAAGTTGATGTAACCAACGAGAAATTTTGTCGATATCTTACAACAATAAATGAGCCGCGTCACGACAAAACCAACATAATAGGTTTGCGACCAGCACGGATCCAGACCAGCCTGCACATCCGCGCAGTCTGATCAGGATCCATGCTGTTCGCTTACCAACCCAATTACAAGTAGAGAAACTGATAGCGAACAGACTGCACGGATGCGCAGGCTGGTCTGGATCCATGCTGGTCGCAAACCCACTATGTTGGTTTTGTCGTGACACGGCTCAAATTAATAATTACAAGCTCTACTGTTCTAAATCTGTTCTCGTTTTGTTCTTCTTTTGTTAGCAAAATATCAATAATATTTTGATAAACTGATAATTTCTTTCCTGTTTTGAAACATCATTGACTTATCAGATATCTGCAGTGTTTGCCATGTGTAATAAATAGAGGATATTGAATGAGTGATGTGAGTTCAGTACTAAATTTATTGCACAAGTTGAATAAAATTATATTATGCGAGCATCTGGCAAGAATTTAATATTCTATTTATCACATACCAAAAATAAAGACCGTTTAAGGTGAAAAGAATTATACATACGAAAAATCACTTCATATTTTTGTTTATTTCAATTATTAACTATTCTGCTCTGATTAATACACACAAATCGTTGCACACAAATGCAGTTTGTTGTTTTTTTTATTGTTGGTTTCTGCAGACTTGCAGTTGGAAATGAGAAAACTACATTATGAGTGAATTGTAAGAGTGATTTTAGGCATAATTAAAAGCATAACTATTGCGGGTTTGTCAAATCTTAATCATGGTAACTTAACAGATAGATCGTCAGCTCAAATTACACAATAAAGTAAATTTTTTACCGATGGTTTCTCAAATGAGTCATCAAAGGTGTAACTGAATACATCTTCTATACTGATGTCAACGTCACTTCCCGTGGCTGATTCGTCATCATCGATGTCATCTTCGGACAGGTAGAAATCTTCCATCATAGAATCTGAAAGACCCTTTTTCTGTTTCTTATTGACAGGTTTCCCACAGATAACAACTTCTTCAAATGAATCGTCGAGAACCTGGTCGATCTGCCGTTTTCCTGTCCTTTTATGAGATTCACTATAATCAGAGAGCGTTGTGTCGTCATTTAACGTCAAACTAAAGTTTATTGACGTCACTGGCGTAGATCTATTGCTTGAATTAGGTACCAAACGTCTTTTAGCACATCGTATCAATTTGTCAAAGTTGAGAAGGGAACTTAGGCTCGACAAACGGCGCCGTTTTGTGACCTTCTCCTCTTGTAAGAATGTGCTGTCATGCGAACGTTTACGTTTCAGTTGTGACTTCTGAAAATATAATCAAAGATACTGTAGATCTACTGTACTATTAAAGTAATATTACATAGCAACTCTTAGTATTTTATTTAAATTCTTTGTGTCCAAATAAATCGAGCTTTGATTATCAAATTATTATAGCACGCAATATTTGGGAACAAAGAATTTGAAATGTAAATTACCTTAAAGCATGTTAAAATCTGACAAACACAATACAAATGTATACATCCAGATAACTTGTGAAAGGGTGAATCAACGGCTGTTTGAAATGGTCCGAACCGGAAGAAAAATATAATTGAGCCGCGTCACGACAAAACCAACATTAAGGGTTTGCGACCAGCAAGGATCCAGACCAGCCTGCGCATCCGCGCAGTCTGATCCATGCTGTTCGCTTACAAACTCTATAACAAGAGTTATACTCTATAATATAGAGAAACTGATAGCGAACAGCATGGATCCTGATCAGACTGCGCGGATGCGGAGGCTGGTCTGGATCCATGCTGGTCGCAAACCCATTATGTTGGTTTTGTCATGACGTGGCTCATATAGACTTTGCCCTAAACGTTATCCATAACTAATTTAAATAGCTTCGTGCAGTCTGGTATTCTGAGATGACAGATGGGTTTTAATGATAATACTTGTTGTGCTTGTATCTTGCTTCAGCAGTTATCAGTCACTTTGTATACCCAAACCAAACCTGAACATATTTCGCACACAAAACCGCTGATATTTTTCTTTAAGATTCGACAATGAAACAAATCCGTTGAATTGATAACCGTCGTCGAATTATTCAAATCATTAAATTGTATGCACGAATATAACAAAGGGCTATAACTCATGTTATCAAGTCAAATGTAGTGTTACTGTTCCTATGCAGTTCTATCTTTTAATATACTGTATGATTTATACGCGCAACCATCCCCGCAAATAAACTGATTGTATATATAAGTCTTAAGCTATACAGAAGAGAAGTATGGTTCTAAAACAATTTAGTTTTCCCTATTGCTATTGAGATCTACCAATGTGTGGAGTTTCCAGTTGAGATTCTAAATATTTCTTCAGATTTTTTTTAGATTCTTCAATAGACAATTATGATTGTAAGATAATGAATTTTCTCCTTATGAGATTTATCAGTGTATGAAGTTTCAAGTTGATATCCTTAATATATGTTCAGTTGAGTCGACGAAACAAAGGGGAAAAAGAAAAGAAAGTTACGGTTCTTAATAATTGTGCTTTTCATTATTGAGATACATAAAGCTGTGAAATTTCAAATTGATATACATGTATTCAATACTTAATAAAATAAATTATACCCTGGACTAAAATTAAGTATGAAAAAATAAAAATGAAAATTACTACAAAATTATGCAAAAGGGATCAGTTATGGTTTTAATACAGTGCACTTTGCCTACATATGAGCCGCGTCACGACAAAACCGCATCCGCGCTGTCTGATCAGGATCCATGCTGTTCGCTATCAGTTTCTCTACTTGTAATTGGGTTGGTAAGCGAAAAGCAGGGGTCCTGATCAAACTACGCGGATGCGCAGGCTGGTCTGGATCCATGCTGGTCGCAAACGCACTATGTTGGTTTTGTCGTGACGCGGCTCATATGATCTATCATTCAATAAAATTTCAAGTAAATACCTATACTATACTTTTTTTGAAATGCCACGTGACGCTTATACAATTTAGGTAGAAAAATGCAAGAGGCAATAACTCCTAAATTATAGAAAAGAGAGTTTTGGTCTTCTTAGAAGTGGGATGTAAAGATGTAAAGACATGTGAACTGGTTCAAGTTTTAGGCTCCTTAATTAAATTTCAATTCCGCAATGGGCATCGTAACAGCTAGTCGGAAGACAACGCCAAATCATAAACATAATTATGCGTACCTGGCCAGATCTATATATCTCCCCGTCTTTAACGGTAGATAGTTATTCCTAATGTTTGACCCAGGACAAAGGTATGTTCATATAATATTCCTGAATTTGGACATATGATTTGACCGTATGCATAGCCTGCTTGACCCTTTTCTAAATGAACTAGGGTTTATAGTCCAACTTTGCTTCGGAAATGCTTTTATTTTTCTTCCATAATAGTCCATTTTTGTTGTCCTGTAACAGTTTCCAAAAAATTACTCATTCATTTCATTGCATGGTAACATCTATACTGTAAGCCAGTTTTTGCTTCTTTTGCATTTTGGTAATTAGTACGTACAGTCATTCGTAATGATTTAACAATTATTTATAGTTTCTAAGTCAAAACACCACTTTGTTTACATTTTACTACCTTTCTGACAAAATATTTCACATTCAACCTGGGACATCGTATATCCCAGATTCAACGCTATTTTAACATCTCACTTGTAGCATAGTCGTACATGCAGTTCCTAAAAATGCCCTGAACAGCAGAACTCGTTTATCGCACAATTATTTACATTGTAGACAGCCATGCTTTTACTTTAAATCTTGAACTTAAAATAACATGTTCATTTTAAGTCCCAGATCAAAAGTGGAAAATTGTTTTGGCATTTCGTGTAAAACTCGATTACGGTGTAAGGGCCTTTTTCGTTTACCGTAAAACAAAAGCGACTGTTTACTTTCCTTTTCTAATCAAGCACGCTCGTTCTACATTATGACACCGACTCGTTCCAGCTATTAATTAACTTGTGCGAGTGAAAAATGGCTAACTATTCTGCGGTAATGAAATGTCATTTAAATTAAATAGTTTCATTAGAACATTTGTATTGTAATATTGTCTTAATATTGTTCACCTTAATTTGATTTTTAACTCAAAAGAAATTATCGGAAGCGCAAAGTCCATTCTTTAATTTATTGTATTAAGAGATGGGTGGGGTAAAATAGAAAACATATATCTGATGACCTGACATACCAATTATATTCGTTTATATATTGGGGAGTCATCAAAAATGCTATTTCTTTAAATGTTTATAAGTATCATTAGACCTTTATAGATCAGGGTTAACAATATTTTCTACTTGCAAATTTATAATAATAATAATTATAATTAAATTTAATATTAGTACTCAAATGTTAAATAATATAAATAAATAATAGTAATCAAATGTTTAACTGGCAATATGATTTAGTCCAGAATTGTGTATCTTTTATTATTATTGAATTATACACATTGACAATGTATTTTGAACATATGGTATGACAAATAGAGGATATTAAATGAAAGTAGGTTTAATACTATATTTATTGAAGGATTTGACTAAAATCATATTATGCGAGCATAATATTGTTTTATTCAACAAGTTCATTTAATATAGTATTGAATCTACACGAATATTATATTCTATTAATCAAATAATATAAATACGAACGGTAAACTGTTAAAAAGAATCATTTTTCATTGACGCGCCTATAGTGTTACGCTAACATTAGCGCCCTTTAACACTATGGTTATATATAACGCAAATGACGTCATGTCAAAGTGTTATTACACTAGTGTAAATGATATTAATATAAGCTGCATTTGTATTAAAATGTCAGAAACAAATATCACTAGTAAACACAGTTCTCTCCTTGTAACTTAACAAAAACATTTCAACACATTAACGATTGTTTAGGGATCAGGAAAAATATACCAGAGGAACACTTGCCTATTAAGACTAGAATCACTGGTGACAATGTACAAATTATAAATTTGGGCATGCCATGCAATGCAATTTTTGGGACCTTTATTAATTTTAATTGATCAAGTGATTACACTAACAGACTGAAAACTCAAGAAGTACTGGTCCAGTGTTTCTGCCAGAGCGCGTTTTTGCGTTTTTGGCGCACTATTTTCAGCCATGACGCAATGAAATTTAGTTAGTGCGTATTTTGTGACGCAAGAATTTCACCGTCGCTGATTTCAACACAAGTCAGATATACAGACTATAAACCGTCAATTCAGTATAAAAATGTACGGAATGTTTACCGTGGGCTCCACTATAATTTTAATGAGAAATGAAATTTACCGGGTCCGTGGTCCGGCATTTAGCCAATTTCAACTAGTTAATAAACGCTTGCATTTATACGTTACTGCATATATTGAAAGCGCCCAGACAAAATTATTTATTTTGTTGTCGTCATATTCTGCGAACGAATAACTGTCTGCTGGAAAATGCAGTCTGCGTATATGTTAGTGTTCATCTGTGCTGTTCTACAGAAATTAGAAACTTCGAAAGGAGCGATAGCGACAGGAGAATGTTTCTAATTTCTGTAAAACAGCTAAGGATGAACACTAACATATTTAGTGTCAAGCTTTATTTGGCCCTTGATTACGTCACTAGGCGGTACTATGAAGCACTATGAAAAATAGAAGGCGACTATGAACGAATTTCAATATAGTATCGACTTTCTTTCTTCTATGAAAATTAACACACATAATTTTTAAGAAATACAGCGTTATTATTGGATGACAAATAATCCAAAATAGCAGAGATTGACCAATTTCTTCACGAAAAATATACAAAATATTGTATCGTGGACTAACCAGTTCTCAAACCTCTAAGCATTCAAGAGGTCTTTTAGTGTAAATAAAAATATATCTTTATTAAAATTCTTTACATATGTACACTTTAATCTTTATGTAACATTTCTGTCAAATTTGACTGAAATTCAACAATTATAAAAGCTCCATTTTCATCTTGGAAAAGCACAACCCTCTGTTTTAAAACTGACATGGCCTCTTAAAATAAAGAACCTAATCTCAAACCCCTTCAAATATTTCTAAAATTCTACTGTTTATTTTAGCCAAATAAGTGATTGTTATATGACTATCACATGACAATGAAGTATCCTACATGATGCAGGTACATGCTTTAAGATATTTTTGTCTATAATATTCATTTTCACAAATAGTTAATGGTGTATTAATTGGACTTACAAAGGTAATAGCAATTTGTATGAAATTACGCAAAGTAATAAAATATGTTATGTAAATATTTGTTCCTATGCACTGTTTTCATTTGACATCAGCAGACATGTCTATCAGAAGCTAAGCTTTTATGCACACAAGTACAGGACATCATAGTCACTTCTAGTAAAAAAATAACAGCACATGAATGAAAGGTTTGAGAATAGGTTGGGTGTGAGAATAGGTACTTATACGATAAATAAAACTTATAAAGTGTTACCTGTTTTTTTTTTTACATTTTTGTTAAATTTATTGGCATGACCCTTATGAATTTGAAATGACCCCTAAAATATCATACAGGGGGTCATAAAAGACCCTCAGAAAATCAGAGCTGGCAGAAACACTGCTGGTCGGGTCAACTGGACACTTTTTGAACATTTTTCCATAAAGAATATATAATTTCAAGCTACAGATCTGAAAATTTGACACAGTACAGCTAGGTTCTTCTCGTAACTAACAAACTAGTTATGATTATGTTGACACTGATGTCTAAGGCTCGTCAAGGAGGTTATCTAAATTACCTAAATTCAACATAGCATAGTACAGAACCAGGACAGATATAAAATGACAATGATTTAATTAAGATAAAAGCTTGAGCATTTTAATAAGATAAAAGCTTGAGCATTTTAATAAGATAAAAGCTTGAGCATTTTAATAAGATAAAAGCTTGAGCATTTTAATTTTGATTTTTTAACATGATATACAATATATCAGCAGCAAATGCTGAAGTTTTTGGATGTTTTATTGTTTACTCTATAAATGATTATAAAATGTAGCTAGTATAAGAGATCAGGCATTGCACTCTTGATGCCCAAATTTCCAATGTCAATGTTCCTTAAAAACAAATTAAAATATCCCAATTTATGAAAGTTGAAATGAAATTAATTACTTAATGAGAGGAGAAACTTGCATTTATTGTTGATAGAAAAGCTTGTCAACAACTGATCAAAGAAAACAAATAAATCAGGCATTTTTAGGGCCTTCAGGGTTTGATGGTTGTCAGGCTTTGGTGGTCCCCAACCAGTACTGATCTACTAAGTACTTATATAAAAAATTCAGTTGAAAGGAAAACAGTTTACAGACGAGTGGTACGTTTTTACACTGCACCCTGATAAGATAATATAGATTCTCTTACCAAAAGTGTTTGCTTGTTATAAATAGTCTATCTAAATATATCCACAGAAAAATAAATAGAGCAACCCAAAATAGACTTAAGTTTTTAGGGTTAACATCATCAGCTTTTGCATCTGGTTATATTACAGCCGACAGTTTCCAAGCATGTGCAGATTATATATTATTATTGAATTATACACATTGACAATGTATTTTGAACATATGGTATGACAAATAGAGGATATTAAATGAGTGTAGGTTTAATACTATATTTATTGAAGGATTTGACTAAAATCATATTATGCGAGCATAATATTGTTTTATTCAACAAGTTCATTTAATATAGTATTGAATCTACACGAATATTATATTCTATTTATCAAATAATATAAATACGAACGGTAAACTGTTAAAAAGAATCATTTTTCATTGACGTGCCTATAGTGTTACGCTAACATTAGCGCCCTTTAACGCTATGGTTATATATAACGCAAATGACGTCATGTCAAAGTGTTATTACACTAGTGTAAATGATATTAATATAAGCTGCATTTGTATTAAAATGTCAGAAACAAATATCACTAGTAAACACAGTTCTCTCCTTGTAACTTAACAAAAACATTTCAACACATTAACGATTGTTTAGGGATCAGGAAAAATATACCAGAGGAACACTTGCCTATTAAGACTAGAATCACTGGTGACAATGTACAAATTATAAATTTGGGCATGCCATGCAATGCAATTTTTGGGACCTTTATTAATTTTAATTGATCAAGTGATTACACTAACAGACTGAAAACTCAAGAAGTACTGGTCGGGTCAACTGGACACTTTTTGAACATTTTTCCATAAAGAATATATAATTTCAAGCTACAGATCTGAAAATTTGACACAGTACAGCTAGGTTCTTCTCGTAACTAACAAACTAGTTATGATTATGTTGACACTAATGTCTAAGGCTCGTCAAGGAGGTTATCTAAATTACCTAAATTCAACATAGCATAGTACAGTACCAGGACAGATATAAAATGACAATGATTTAATTAAGATAAAAGCTTGAGCATTTTAATAAGATAAAAGCTTGAGCATTTTAATAAGATAAAAGCTTGAGCATTTTAATAAGATAAAAGCTTGAGCGTTATAATTTTAATTTTTTAACATGATATACAATATATCAGCAGCAAATGCTGAAGTTTTTGGATGTTTTATTGTTTACTCTGTAAATGATTATAAAATGTAGCTAGTATAAGAGATCAGGCATTGCACTCTTGATGCCCAAATTTCCAATGTCAATGTTCCTTAAAAACAAATTAAAATATCTCAATTTATGAAAGTTGAAATGAAATTAATTACTTAATGAGAGGAGAAACTTGCATTTATTGTTGATAGAAAAGCTTGTCAACAACTGATGAAAGAAAACAAATAAATCAGGCATTTTTAGGGCCTTCAGGGTTTGATGGTTGTCAGGCTTTGGTGGTCACAGACCAGTACTGATCTACTAAGTACTTATATAAAAAATTCAGTTGAAAGGAAAACAGTTTACAGACAAGTGGTACGTTTTTACACTGCACCCTGATAAGATAATATAGATTCTCTGACCAAAAGTGTTTGCTTGTTATAAATAGTCTATCTAAATATATCCACAGAAAAATTAAGTAAAGCAACCCAAAAATAGACTTTTAAGTTTTTAGGGTTAACATCATCAGCTTTCGCATCTGGTTATATTGCAGCGGGCAGTTTCCAAGCATGTGCAGATTATATCAATTATGTAAAAGTCCAAAATGAACAATCACTTGCAAATAAATGCCAGCTGAAGTTACGTACCTTTTCTAGCAGTATTAGCAGTGTGAAAAGTGATTTCAAAAATATTAGCGAATCTCCCCATCCCTTCTAGAATAGATACTGTATTAGATTTTTTTTCTGGCATTTTGCATATTTTGCCAGTATGCATGCTTAAATTTGAACCCTGTAGATTGTATAACATGAGTGACATGTCATGAATTACCATTCTCAGTCATACAGGAAAGAAATCTACATAAGTCCTTGACTGCCTTTTCAATCCTGTTTTATATAATGTTGTTGTACCATAATTGTAAATGTTTGCATTAAATGAAATAAATCTGTTTAAGCCAAACAGGCTCAATAGAGTTTATCACTTTAAAATGATATTTCAATTAAAATAATTAAGCATTATATATGATACAAGTAATAAATAAAAAGATTTGGTTGCCTTTTATTTTCTTAGAATTATTTCCCTTTTCCCCATTTTCAGGAAACAAAATGTTTGAAGTTCATAAAAAATATGTTTTTAGCTCGACTATTCGATAAGAATAAGTAGAGCTATTGCAGTCACCCGAGCGTCGGCGTCGGCGTAACCACTTATGTTAAAGTTTTTGTAATAGTTCAAATATTTTCAAAGTCCATAGACATATGGCTTTGAAACTTTGCACACTTGTTCACCATCATGACCCCAACCTGTAGACAGGAGGAGGAAACTCTATCAAGCATTTTGACAGAATTATGCCCCTTTTTCGACTTAGAATTTACGTTAAAGTTTTTGCAATAGTTCAAATATTTTCAAAGTCCATTGACATATGGCTTTGAAACTTTGCACACTTGTTCAACATCATGACCCCAACCTGTAAACAGGAGGAGGTAACTCTATCAAGCATTTTGACAGAATTATGCCCCTTTTTCGACTTAGAATTTATGTTAAAGTTTTTGTAATAGTTCAAATATTTTCAAAGTCCATTGACATATGGCTTTGAAACTTTGCACACTTGTTCACCATCATGACCCCAACCTGTAAACAGGAGGAGGTAACTGTATCAAGCATTTTTTTTACTATCAAGCACTAAGAATAGTTGAGCGTTGCTGTCCTACCGACAGCTCTTGTTGTATAAAATTCTTAACCAGTCTGACAAAATGCACATTTCCATGAACTTCCTACTATAATTTATGTTCCAAAATCAAAGTTCTTGGCTTTCATTTTCATTCTTAATAAAGAATATATGAAATTTTGCTATGATCAACAATTATTAGGAGTATTAAAGTATTAGGAGAAATTTCAGAAATATTTTTTGATAGTTCCAGGCCATGGACATATGACAGCCTAATGTACAGGTATTCACTAATCTATTACCTGTGTTTGTTTTGTCATACAGGTAGCAGGTTCGATGCGAAAGGCTTTTCTAACAGGAAAAACAAAATCTTTAGAATGGAGACGATCACAGCTACTGGCATTGTTAAAGATGTTGGACGAAAACAGAGACCGCTTGACAGATGCATTAATGAAGGACCTGAATAAGGTATATCATATTGTTATCACCTTGAATACAAATAATTCACCTTGCCTACAGGATATTCTATTTGTGACAAGGGAATCTTTTCAATAACATGAATAGGCAAACAGTAAAGTTTTCGTGCACAAATATGACCTGAAAGCTGATTTTATGAGTGGATTTTAATACAATCTTTGTCAAGAACAGTGGCCAGAAAGACATATTAGTATTTGTCTTTGTGTTTGAATAAAATTCCCCAATGAAAGGATCATTATCCACATTGCATTGATATGGTCTTATTGATAGAAACAAATATTTTTTTATTGTTTCATGATTGTGAAATGGATACCCATGGGGTTAAGAATTATGTTGCGTTGTGCACAAAGTTAATAATTTACATGTCAGGTGATTGCTTTTTGTGAACATATATACTACCACTCATTATTATTTTCTTTGCAGAATTTAGGTCTTATTCTTTAATCACAGAAATGAATGAAATTTTTTGCTCTGTTATTACAGTGTAGGTTCGAATCATGCCTGATGGAAGTGGACTTTGTAAGGAATGACTTGATCAATGCACTCAATAACCTGTCAGACTGGGCCAAACCAGAAAAGGTATCGTAACATTTGTTGATTCATGACATTTTATGTATAAGGGATATATAAAATTTAGTTATAAAAAAGGAGTTAATTCCATGTTTTATCAAATATGCCATAAAAGTTTCAATTCAATTTCAAAATGTTTTGATAGATATCAGGTGAGCAAATAAAGAAATGCAAACCACAATAACAGGGCTGGGAATGAAAACTCTGTTGTATCCTACAAAATGTAAACAAAAGCCGCCATTTTGGAACGAAAAAGGTATGTTTTTGTTTATAACTCTTTGTTGGAAATGACTGAAAACCAGATATATGTATTAACAAGCTCCACAATTTTCCGCTTCGTTCAGTATATGTTGCTAGCTTGTACAACTTTTTTGTAAAACAAAAGTTATAGTGAACTTGCAACTCAAAGCGGGCCAGAATTAATTAAGTTTTGTGGATACGACGCAGTTCATATTGCTTTATCCATCTTGTTTTCCTTCAAATCAATTATATACTCATTTCAGAGTTTACCATAAACTTAAAAATATAATTTTGCATCATTTACTAAAAATATCATTAAAAAGAGATTTTTATTTTCTGAGAAAATAATAATTTGTACAAAATGATATGACGCAGTTGAAAATAAAATATGATACGACGCAGTTGTATTTTTTTTATTATTTTCAACATAGATAATTTCGGCAATATATGTCTATTTTATTGAATAATCACTTGCGCTGAATAAACTCAGTTCATTCGTGGTTTGTAGCGATGTTCTGATGCTTTTGATTATTTAGAATGCATTGTGTCATGTCAAATATAACATTTACTTTTAAATTGTTAAATATGAACATGTAACTTATCATAATATCTGAAATAATTGCTTATATTTTCCTGTATGTTCAATATAATCCCTATTTTGTTTGAAAAAAATATAGAAATCTATGAACTTGAATAACAAAAACATTTACGCTCATAGTAAACTGTGGTTCTACTTTCTCTCTACATGGGGGCAAGGACCTCAGGTGCGCCTTTCTGCATTATTTCAGTCAAAATGTTGCACCTGCAGAGAACCATTGACAATTTAAAACTAGCTTGATAGGTTTTTGCACACGTGAGAATCAAAAGTTCCTGGTGGTTTTCAAATTTACAGCAGTCCAGTGCAAGTGAAGTCAGTAAACATGAACAGCTCGGCCTCGGATGGACACACCTGTCCGAGATTTTTCAACAAAATTTGTCAACCATTGTCTTAAATGTCAGCTGTACAAATAAGCAGTTTTTTTATAAACTTCTGCCATGAAGATTTAACAAATATTTGAATTAATTATAAAGAAAATAACATCTAATTTCTTGTTGATATAAAATATTTCCTTATTTTACTTTGATATTTCGTTAAAAAAGTATGTGTCTGTGGCATGAATAGGAGAGAAATTTTCGATGTGAACAGGGTGTAATCCTCTTTGAAGTCATTTTCTGAAAAAAATTGTTTATGTGTCAGGCAATTCATTATCAAATCACACTTTAGTATGAAGTTATATTAAGATGACATGTCTCAAGTCTGTGGAAAATTCAATGTGATAATCTGACCTAAATTATCTCATCCCAGCATTAATTCTATATAAGGAAAAATTCTTCAATAAAATTCAAGAATGTCGCGCATATGAAAAAGTAACCATCCCCATTAATTACGAACTCACAGGAACAAGTTTATAAGCATGCTAAGGCAACACTAAAACACGGAAATGGGGTGCGATCATGTGTTTTAATGTATTTGATACACCCTTTTCGGAATTTGTAGATGCAAATATAGGTGCAAAGAATGCGACCAAATTGAAGCCTTAATAGAATTTTTATTACAATTTCCATTTTTGTGGGACCAATGAGTGACCTCAGCTCTCGGCTTCAGTTGTAAACAAGGTCACTTGTGCGCATTCATAATGATAAAAAATTTGCAGACAAAAATTGTTGTTGGACGTTACTATTAAACTTCACGCATAATTTGATAGCTGAACCAAAGTGCAGCCTGCAATTAAAATACAACTGTGTCATATCATATTTTATTTTAAACTGTGTAGTATCATTTTGTACAAATTATTATTTTCTTGAAAAATAAACATCTCTTTTTAATGAAATTTTAGTAAATGATGCAAAATTATATGTTGAAGTTTATGGTGAACTCTGAAATGAGTCTATGATTAATTTGAAGGAAAAAGATAGATAAAGCAATATGAACTGCGTCATATCCACAAAACTTCATAAAAACTCTGCTCCGCTTCGAGTTGCAAGTTCGCTATAACTTTTGTTATACAAAATAGTCGTGCAAGCTACATATACCGAACGAAGCGGAAATAGTGGAGCGTGTTAATACATATATTTGGTTGTCAGTAATTTCCAACAAAATTACTTATAAACAAAAACAAACTGTTTTCATGCCAAGTTGGCAGTGTTTGTTTACATTTTGTAGGATACAATGCAGTTTTGATTCCCAGCCCTGTATAAAGCACCAATGATCCACAATATTGAATATCAAAATATGCAAAAGAAAAGTTTACTCTGTAAAAGAAATATGGTGATTAAAATTGTAAACTGAATCACATTTTATAAAGGTATATACATACATGCAGATTGATTCATATTAATCTTTTGATACATTTTTCTACAGTTGGATGTTTTGAATCTAAGAAGTTTATAACATCTTAGCATTGTTGCAATATTAACAGATTTAGCAAAAATGCAATTCTGTTAACTCTACATGTATATATAAATTGTCAATTCAGAAACAACAGAATTCATTATTTGATTCATAGGTTTCATACTGCTACATGTATGTCATGCACAATAATGTCATATTTAATAATGTATAAATTTTCCCAGCTTTGAATTTAGGACCATCTTTTAAAGTTCAATATAGAAATTACAAAAATTGGGCTACCAGCAGTATAGAGCCTGGATAGACTGCACAGTAGTGGACTAGTGGAGGAATGCTGGGTGGTAAAGGCTGGTCACTTTTGGTTTCAACAGTGTGTGGGTGTAATGAATCTAAGAAAATGTCACTTCTGGTTCCAACATTCCAGTCACTTTCGGTTCCAGCAATATGAAGGTTAAAGGGATAAATGATGTTCTTTCAAAACAAGAAACTGCTCTTCATACTTCATAGTAGTTCAGATGATGAGCATATATTTAGTGGCACGATTTTAATGTAGTGTTTATTCTTAAGACATGTTTGGTTGTAAGATGCAGCATTTTCCCCTTTATTCCATGTTTCTGATGTATATTTCAGGTAAAGAAAGGTTTGATCAATATTATGGACAAAGTATACATCCGAAAAGAACCATTTGGTGTGGCACTGATAATGGGGGCGTGGAATTACCCTGTACAACTGACAGTTGCCCCAATGATCGGAGCACTAGCTGCAGGTAAATTTGTGTGTAACATTTAATATTTTGATTTCACATCATTGATATATATGATCTGATATGAGTGTCATGAAATTTTATATATGATGGCAATGAATGGCAATAAATATTAGATTCTTTTATGACATTGGACTTATCAAAATGAATTAAGAAACAAACTTGGAATACAAAAATGTGCTAACTTTTATCACATAACTAAATTTAGCTGAAACAGCCTGTTTACAACTTCTTTCATTTATATTTTTATTTATAAACATAAGCTTGACATGTTAATTAAGTCATGTGATAAATATCAATTTTACTTCACAAAAGGCATATGTTTTTATGTTAAAATTAAAATTTTCATTAAATCAAAAATAACAATTTTATGAATTGTGGTCATTTAAGCTGCTCACTTCCAGGTGAGAGATCAGTTTTTCATCATTAAACACTCTAAATTTTCATAAACATTAACAAGAATCTGGACGCTGCATTAAAGTCAATTTGATTGTAGATTTTTTAAAAAGAAATACAGTGCAACTTCAGCAGAGGAGCTCTCTGTAGGGCAAGTCAAACTTTTAATTCCTGTAAAAGTTAGACTTCACAATATATTCAACTCTGGATAGAACTTTACTCATCTTGCAATGGATGTTGATATGAAGAAGTTATATTTACTTATATTTATACATGTATATATTGTGACATCATCACTTATACTACCATAGCAACAAGCTAAATGCTTTTACAGCAGTTGGCTCACTCAGTCACAGTTTTTCCTTATTATGAATATCTTATGGCAAACACATTTATCATTTTATAAGGCCACGACTGCCCATGAATGAATATATATGAAAGCAAAGAAAGTCATGAACAGGAAATTATACACAGAAAAATCACATGAAAGAACCAACACACCTCAGCCAGTACCTGTAACCATGTGTGTCTTGATTGCAGGTCCTGTATGCTAACCACTACATATATAGCATTATATAGTAAAAAATTCTTACCTTATTTGAAGGCATGATGTTGAATCTTTCCTTAAATCCAATATTCTGAGGAATAAAATGTCTATGCACAAAATGAAATACTTTCTTAATTAATTTTATACAAAATTGAGATATAAATGAGGTATATATAGGAGCAAGAACTCAATTTGTGCTAATTAGTTTTAAAATGGTGTTAATTGCTTGAATTAGATTATTATTGGTTTACCAACATTTACCTTTGATATTAACCTAATTCCTTTGATCAGAAATTGACACCTTTTAAAATTGTCCCACTTATCTAATCTATAAAGGTTTCTTTGAAGGCCATTATTAATATCAATTAAGGAATTAATAAATATCAATTAGGGCATTTATCAAGGCAAACGTCAAGTTTTTAGGATTAATAATTCTTTCATTTTAATAATTTATTGTAACTATAATAATAATCTGTTTTAATTCATGTAAGTTTTCCTATAATTTTATTTAAGTTATTGATCAAGGACATTTTATTGCATTAAGATATTCTCATTTTTAAGTCATTTTGCTTTCATTTTGATATAGCCATGTTAATAATAAAAGATCCCAATTTTAACAATGTTTTGGCTCTTTAAAACACAGAAGAAATGTTTGCCTGTTACAACAATTCTGATGATAATGTTGATGATAATAACAATAATAAAAAGAATAATAATAATGATGATGATGATGATAATTTATAATAATAAAAATACACAATGTATATGATAATAATAATAATAATAATAATAATAATAAAACTAATAATAATAATATGTAATAATAATAATCATGATGATGGTGATGATAGTAATAATCATGATGTTAATGATGATAATAATGATAATAGTGATGATAATAACAATAAATAAAAACAATAATAATGATGATGGTGATGATGATAATAATGACAATATATAATAATAATAATAATATAAAATAATAATATTGACAATTTATAATAATAGTCAATGTATATAATAATAATAATATGTAATAATAATAATCATGATATTAATGGTGATGATGACGACAATGATGATACAAATATTTCTTTGACAGGTAACTGTGTATTAATGAAGCCATCTGAGGTGTCTGAAAATGTGGCTAGTTTATTGGACGAGCTGTTCCCTAAGTACTTTGATACAGTAAGTTTACTTTTTTATACATGTATAAACCTACATGTCCATGGTTGGAACAGCTACATTTCTTATTATTCAAGGGAAATAATTCTGAAAATCATAAAGTGTAAATATATAATGACATATATTTTGACCTGTATTTATGTTATTACTTTTATTTAATTTAACAAAATTTACAAATTTTCGACAAGTTTCAAGTTGAAATAAATTAGACCAATCGTCACATTCTACAAGTTGTCCAATTCTATCAAATGTTGGATTGAACTAACTGTCATATTTGATTAGATGGCTTTCGACAAAATGTCATGGAAGCATGTAAGATATGTATAATAGAAAAAATCTGTCACACACTACAAAGAAACATGTGTTGTATTTCAGGATTGTATTAAATGTGTTTGTGGCGGTATACCCGAGACAACAGCTCTCCTGAAGGAGAAATGGGACTATATTTTCTATACAGGGAACTCTTTTGTCGGCAAGATTGTCATGAAGGCGGCTGCAGAGCATCTTACACCAGTCACACTTGAACTGGGAGGAAAAAGGTATGATACTCATAATAAGACGGGTATTTGTCAGATTGCAAATTGCTTTAGGGGGTATACTAAAATTTCTTGCCTCCTGTTGCTTTGTGTTGAAAAATCTTCTTTGAATTCTTTCATTTAGGGAAATTATTTGAAAAAAAAAGTGTTTTATGAACTGGTAAGGATTTCGATGTCAAAGTGATGAATTTTAGCTATCAATGATATAAAATTACTGATCAGGTCATCCTGCAGGGATTTTCAGACATACCTTGCTCTATACTGGTTAGAAAAGTCTGTTATTATTAATGTCGCTTGGGGTCTAAGTGTTCAATTGTTGATAAGCTTTGCTGATATTTGTATATTTATGTACATGTATGTATAATTACAGCCCAGTGTATGTGGATCAAGGTTGTGATCTAGGCATAGTGGCCAACAGAATTTTATGGGGCAAGGTCACAAATGCGGGACAAACCTGTGTTGCCCCGGACTATATTATGTGCACTAAGGAAACTCAGGTAAGAAGGTGACATTTATGGTATTTTATCCATAAAAAAGAACAACATTCACATTCTTTTCAATTTCTACTATTCATTTGGAAAAAGGTGAGTCATAGTATTTGAATAATAGAAGAATAGTAGGTCTATCCTACTCACCATGCTATACTCAACATTTCATGAAGGTTTTGTATGTTACTTCATATGAATCTCATTAACTTTGAAAATAATACACCTGAAATTTTGCACACATCTTTTGTGATTTAAACTATAAAACACTGGCAAAGATCCATAACTCTAGCATGGATTTTGACAGAAATTATTCCCCCTTTGTGTTGGGAAAAATAGAAAAAAATCCTGGTTAGAATGAGCATGATCTTTATCAACAAAACAACTGATTTTATTCTTTTGAAACAATTAACAAATGCCTTGATACATGTATATAATTGAATGTAGATAATTGAGTGGAGTTAAGTGCATTTCCTGGAAGAATTAAATTCATTTTAACTTACTATTGTGTGAAATACTTGAGACATGATCTACTTATGTATATGACTATGAGTCACTTTGTTGGTAGAGAACAATGGTAAAAATATGAACAAAATTCACATAATCTTAACCCTGAATCTTTGTAATGGTTTAGCCCAGCTTTTAATTTGGAACAGTTCATTTCAAAGTTTAAGGGGTTTCAGTATCAAAATGAAAAAAATTGAGCTGCAAAAAGTATAGATTTTGGATAGACTGCATGAATGTGCAGACTGGCCTGGCTCTAAACTGGTGGAATAAACTATTCCCTTGCAGTTCCAGTAGGGTAAGAGTGAATGGTTTAAAACCTCGTAATTTTGAATTAAAAATTATGTCCTTTCAAAATAAAGCCCTTTAAGAATAGGAAAATTAATTATTGTTAATAATCTAACTCCTGTATGCATGTTTTTGTTAATGAATACTTAAATATAACTTATATGTTTACAGGTATTTCCAGTCTTCATTTCTATATTCTTAAACTTTATTCACTATTCATTATGCTACTATTATTTTATTTTACCCAGGATGTACTTGTAGAGAAAATGAAGGCTACTCTGGGAGAGTTTTATCCCGAGGGGCCCGCCAAGTCACCTTACTATTGTCGTCTTATCACTGACAGACATTACCAGTAAGTTGTTGATTTATCTGAGTCACTCTTAACCTTCAACCTGTTAGCGGCAATTTGGCAGTTGATTCTAGCTATGTGACCAGTGCAGATCAAAAACAACTGACACATCCTTGCTGATTTATCAAGGTCCTACCTGGTGCTGGCTTTTTTTGGTCTGCACTGCTCACATGGGTAGATTCAGTTGCCACCAGTTGGCTAGGAGTTAATATCAAGACCATACACATCAGCTTAAGTACTAAATACATGTATATTAATATATTTCTAAGTGGTGACATGGCCAAATGGTATACATGTCAGACTAGTGATTTAAGGATTGCTGGCTGTGTGGGCTCAAACCCAATCTGGGGCAAGCCTTTGTTTTCGTGTGCAAGAAACTTTACTCTCACACATTGCTTAGTACTGGTTGATTCGAGGAACAGATTAGAGAGTGTTTCAATAAGCCTATAGCTTTCAACACAATCACACTAAAATAATTAGTATAAACTTAATATCAATTTGAAATGTTTGTTGTGCCCCCACATTAGTGGCGGGCATTTAGATTTACCCTTGTCTGTCCGTCCGTCCGTCTGTCCTTCCGTCCGTCCTTCCGTCCGTCCTTCCGTCCGTCCGTTCACTTTTGTGTCGCACGTAACTCAAAAAGTATTTGACCTAGAGTCATGAAACTTTACAGGAATGTTGTTCAGCATGTGTAGTTGTGCACCTGGGTATTTTTGTCTGGATATTTTTAGTATTTTCAGAGTTATTGCCCTTGACTTAGTAAAATTTTGCAATTTTCAACTTGTGTCGCATGTAACTCAAAAAGTATTTGACCTAGAGTCATGAAACTTTACAGGAATGTTGATCAGCATATGTTGTTGTGCACCTGGGTATTTTTGTCTGGATATTTTTAGTATTTTCAGAGTTATTGCCCTTGACTTAGTAAAATTTTGCAATTTTCAACTTGTGTCGCATGTAACTCAAAAAGTATTTCACCTGGAGTCATGAAACTTTACAGAAATGTTGATCAGCATGTGTAGTTGTGCACCTGGGTATTTTCATCTGGATATATTTCAGTATTTGTAGAGTTTATAGCCCTTGACTTAGTAAAATTTTGCAATTTTCAACTTGTGTCGCATGTTACTCAAAAAGTATTTGACCTAGAGTGATGAAACTTTACAGGAATGTTGATCAGCATGTGTTGTTGTGCACCTGGGTATTTTCGTCTGGATATTTTAAGTATTTTCAGAGTTATTGCCCTTGACTTAGTAAAATTTTGCAATTTTCAACTTGTGTCGCATGTAACTCAAAAAGTATTTGACCTGGAGTCATGAAACTTTACAGGAATGTTGATCAGCATGTGCAGTTGTGCATCAGATATTTTTGTCTGGATTTATTTAGTATTTTTAGAGTTATTGCCCTTCACTTAGAAAATTTTTGCAATTTTCAACTTGTGTCGCAAGTTACTCAAAAAGGATTTGACATAGTCATTAAACCTTATGGGCAGGTTGCTCAGCATATTTAGATTTGCACCTTGGGTTTCGCTTGTGGATTTATTCAGTATTTGTAGAGTTATTTCCCTTGACTTAGTAAAAAGATTGACAGAACAGTGGCGCGGCGGGGGCACCCGTGTCCTATGGACACATTTCTAGTTATTTCTGTTGTCATGCTTTCATTCATAGCTAATTAAATCTCATAACATTTCACTGAGTTATCTGTACTTTCAATTTATACCTTTATGCAAAGTTTCATCATAATCTGTTCATATTGATAGAAGCTATAGAAAACTTTCTGTACAACTATTTGAAATGACCTTTGACTTATAGAAAACTTGTTGTATGACAGTTTGAAATAATCTTTTACCTATAGAAAATTTGTTGTTTGAAATGATCGAAGACCGTCCTATAGAAATTTTTTTTTTGACTGCTTGAAAAGACAGACCTATAGAAAATTTGTTGTTTGACTTTTTGAAATGACCTTTAACCTATAGAAAATTTGTTGGTTGAAATGACGTTTGACCTTTTCATTTAATGCTGGGACTAACTTGAACTTTATTACAGGAGAGTAAAGAAGATGATAAATGGGGGAGGTAAATTGGCTCTAGGAGGTGAGTCTGATGATTCACAGAGATTCATAGCCCCCACAGTTCTCTCTGATGTCACATTTAGTGACCCCATCATGCAAGAAGAGGTATGTTCTTTTTTTGCCCCCCCCCCCCCCTACTAAGGGAAATGGAAGGTGGTGGGGGAAATACAGATTTGCTCTTGTCTGTCTGCCCTGTCAGCGGAATGTCCTATAGCCACATTCAAAGTTACATACTAAAACATGTGTTGCAGATTTTTGTTTCAATAGCTATAACACTAGTCATGTAATATTATGTCCAGGTCCGCATAAATATCTTCTTTCATGTTAGAAAGCTACCCAGCTAGGTTACGGAATGTTGGTAGTTCTACTTTTGTGCTCATTTGTGCCTGAAATAATGCACAGAGGGGCAACTGAGGTCTTCTTCCACCATTGAATCTGGAAAGTTGCAATATAACCTATACTGTGTTGGTTAGACATAAAACCCAATTATAAAAAAAGGAATCGTGTCATAAGTAGAAAGAGTTATACATGTATATTATTATCTTATATAGAGTGTGCCATAATTTAGGTACACACTGGAGTTTTGATTTTGGTTAATTTCTAAAATTATTAGAATGCCTCAAAGATTTGGTTCCATTTCTGCCTATAATTGCTCTTTTTTACAAGTATTTGGCATGTTTTCAGGTATACAATTGTGAATAAAAATGTTTTGTGGAACATTTTAGTTATGTGTTTTTTTCAGGTGTTTGGTCCAGTTTTACCAATTGTGCCTGTGAAAAATGAGGATGAAGCCATAGCTCACATCAATGAAGGGTAAGCTATATCAAATTCATAATTTATATATATTACATTACTCTCATTTTGATAGTCAGTTAATAGTTTTATCAAAAGAAAGAAATAAATCAAAATAGAATAAGTTTAAATCTATTCATTTGCCTTATTGGGGAAATTTGGACATATGACTCATTTGATTCAAATGTGCTTCACATAATATCAGGATTTACAGTAAGATATGCAGTACCTTAACTCAAACTGGCCAAAGTCACTCATGGAGTGAAATGTATTCCTGTGATACACAACCCTTTTCAAACTGCCCTGAGGTCTTTATCCACCAGTAGGAGATACATAACAGCCAAGATATGAGTCAAAAGTATGTTGAAATGGGCATGAATTTACCAGACAGACAAACAAACGGTGTACTTGTCTGCTGGACTATAAAAATACAAGAAAAATAAAGGACTAAAAAAATAAAAAATAAATGACTTAAAAAGTACTGAAATGCATGTATATTTATTTGTTAACATGCAGTAAAAGAAGTTTGGGTATTGGTCAGATAGAATGTGTTTAAAATAATATAGAAATAATTATTCACAGTGTAAAAATGATTAATTTAGATTATTTAAAAAGAGATGTATGTATAATAATTATTAATTTCAGCGGTACGGGCACACCTTTAGCGTTATACGTGTTTTCGAACAACCAGCAACTGATCCAAAAAATACTGGATTCTGTAAACTCGGGTGGCTTCTGTGCTAATGATATTTTAATGCAAGGAAGCTGTAAGATCCACCTTTATGTGCATGGGTTGTTGTTGTACTTAACTGTAGTTTTGATGTATCCGTAACATATCAGTTTTTTGTCTCGATCGATTACGAATCCCAATAAACTTCAATAAGAATTAAGGTTGCTGCCAGTCTAATCCTTATTCGTATTGATTGTAAATATCATGTATGTTAATATACTTATGTGAAGCATAGGCGGCATAGCTATAGTTGCTGTCTGATGTTTTTTGTTAGTCTATTTTTAGCATATTTTTGACACATGAGAGTGTGTTTTCCACTGTGACATCATTATTTGATAGAATTCCAAAATGGCAGTCCTCATACATACATGTACTCTTTATGGTTCATACTTTCTTCAATTGAGGTGAATTGGTCACAGTGAAATGACCAAAAATTTGTTAAAATGGGTGCAAAAATTAGAAAACAAACAAACAAACAAACATGAGATTATGTTTTATTTGATAAAAAACTGATATTTGCATGTAGAACTACTGTTTGGCTTATATTGACTTTGTGTTTTATTGATTGACATACTAATAAATGATAACATAAAATCATATAATTTGCACAAAAAGAAGACATGATTATGAATTATCATTTTCAATATGTTTACCTAAAATGTTTTAAATAAGAGGTAAATGTAATAAGTCAGTTATGACTGGAACATCGAACCATGGTTTAAGTCATTCCAGTGTCCTAGTCTTGTTTCACCGTGAGACTCAGATCGTTTTCTGTACAGGAAACAATATGGGAAGATGTATGAATGAGTTAAATCTTGAATTTAACTTATAATTCTTATCCAGAAGAAAGACAGGGGTGGACTGTAACCTGCACTTTTCAGAACTGTACATGAAACCAATCAAACCAAGTTTACAACAATGTCATTTTTTTCATTTTGGGCGTTCTTTAGGGATTATGTTTTTCTGTTTTTCACCTTTTCTTTGCCAGATATGATTTTATGCTATCATAACTTCTTAGGTACAAGTTCTTTATATTGTTGCACGATTGGATATACATGTACTTTATAACACTCTATATTATATGACTTGGTGATTCGAAGCTGGGATTTCTTTCACACTTATTATTGCTTTATTTCATGTCTTTTCAGGTTCATTTTGTCTGTAACACTTTATTAGTTTAAGGACGTTTTCGGGAGATTTTATATAGACATACAGGCAGAATTAAAACTGTTCAATAGAATTTCTTTAAACTTGGCATGTTGTTAGAATATGAAGACATAAATATTTCAAGTGATGAAAATCTGGGTGTCACTGATCTCTATAGGAAAACTCCCGAAAGCGTCTTTAAGTAATCCACAAAACACTAGCTATTACAGTTATAAACAGTTTAATTATCGGGTAAGAGTTAAAGATAAAAAAGTGATATTTTTATGTCTATGAAAAATTTGCATACTTACAGTGAAAAGCCTTTAGCAATGTATGTATTTTCCTCTAATACGTCATTGGTCGACAAGATGGTAAATAACTGTACATCTGGTGGCTTGGTAGTCAATGATTGTCTGATGCACGCAGGAGGTATCGTACAATATAGAATGAACCTGTTACTAGATATTCCCAACATCCCCCCCATCCAATCCCCCTACGCTTATGACCCTCTAGTTCTTACTTTAGCATATCGGCAATTATTGCACACATATAAACATTAATTTGGTTTCATGAGTTTGAATGTGCAACACATAAAGTTTTAATTAAGAAATAACATCGGCCGGAGAGGTCAATTCCTACGCATCAAAACTCCAAACCGGTGTTAAATAGCCGATATACATGTACACCTCTCAGGCCGATGTTATTTCGATTCTAACACGATAAAATAAGGAAAATCACTAATGTTATTTTTCAATCGGAAATAACTTCTGGTGCCGATTTTCGTATAAGGCTGTTCGATTTTCGCTCCCTACTGTTGCGAAGATATAGAAATTATCAAACAAAAGAAATGATAAGAAAAAGACGTTATTTTATCAAGTTTTCAACAATAAAAACTTACGTCGTATTGTGTTTACATCAGTGCCCCATTTATCATTCTTGTATGTATGAAATAACGTCAGCTTGTTTATGAAGAGTTGTTTACTTAGGATGACGTCATTACGCTGCTTACGGATTGGCGCCGTTTTATCAAAATATTTATTAACTGATATGGATTAAATATGTGGCGTTAGTGTATGTGAGATATTATTTCGGCATTGTATGAAAAGAAAACATTATATGAACTGAAAATATAAATAAAAATGTTTTTTATTCTTGCTTTAAAATGCTTTGTAAACTATACACTCGAGGGTGAAAACATAACAGCGCATATACGTCAAGTAGTCCCTAACCGGTGTTTATTGGCAGTTTAACACCAGTTTTTTTCCTTCTTTGTCTATAGTGACAAAATCACGTGAGTGTTAGAATTATTAATTAATACATATGAACTGTTTTGATGCATCCAAGGGGAGATTAAACTCTGAATTTCGGGAGATTTGATTTGTTTAGTGGGAGGGAAGTTATGGACACTGCAATTTTTCAGGGGCAGTCAAAGTACAAGAACGTGATTCTAAATCACATGTCAAATGTCATTTGTTTTAAATGATTTACATTTAGTAAGGAAGAGAAAAATTGGGAATTGTACCAAAGGCAGGATTATACAAATAAAAGTAGTATTGCATCTTTTTGTCTGTGTAATATATAAAGTGATGGGACATTGTTAATCACTTTACCACCATGTCACTTAGTAGTGAATCTTTTCTTTCATCAATACTGCTAACTTTTCTTGCTTACTAAATAACCACTTCGTTATAAATGCTTCATGTATCCAGGCCTGCTTCATTCATTCTTGTCTGCTTGAAGAAACTCCACTGAGGTTTTTTTTTACATGGGAAATATTTTTCCAAGATTTGTTTTAAAATATTTTTCCAAGATTTGTTTTAAATTTGATGTAGGTCTAAACCAATTACTTTTGTGCAACTTTTCAAATCATTTCCACACCCGGTTGTGCCAGAATAATAATTTTATTGTGCAGAATGACTAAAAAATGAAAAGCTAAAAATTGCACTTACTATCGATTTTCAAATTTTATGTTTTTAGACTTTATTTTACCTCAGCGGTGCTGCTTTGAAGAAAGATTAATCAAAGTTGTTTTTCACATTTTTCAACAGTATTCTTGATAACTTTATGAATTATCTTGTGTCTAATAATTGATGATCTTTCTTCCCACCTTTCATTTTCTTTGTTTTACATAAAAGGCAAGATTATGATTCTGGATTTTTGATTGTTTAGTTTATAAAGTATTTTGTTTCAATTAAACATACATAAGCAAACTAATTATACAATCAAAGACAAAAAAGGTATTGAGTAGAAAGCTACAAGCTTTTTAAAAAAAATTCTTCTTTTTTTTTTTTTTATTATTTAATGATGACTGCTACATTTTGAGATTGTTTTTTAACATTTTTATAATTACTTGCATGTTGTTTCTCATTTGTTTGTGAATTGTTATTGTATGTCTGTGTTTAATATTATTCAGTGCCAACGTTACCATTTGGTGGTGTCGGAAACAGCGGTATGGGATGTTACCATGGGAAGTTTTCATTTGATACATTCTCACATAAACGAGCATGCATGGAGAGGGGATTAAAAATGGAAAGCGTGAACAGGTGAGTGTTTCATAGAAATGTTTCATATTTTGGTCAACTTTTCCAAGAATTACAGCGAGCTATTAGCATGACCTACTTGTTGGCATTGGTAAAGGTCAATTTTCTCAGAAACTGTCTAAGCTATTCACGTTTATATTCCAAATTGGAAAAAAATGAATGATGATATATTGACCTAAAATCTAAATCAATAAAAATGCTTGATTTTCTTATTGGCCCTGTCTATTTTCAGTATTAACCCTTTGTCACTTTTCATAAATCAGTTTCAAAGTTTATTACCCAATTATTCAAAGTGAATTGATGATAATGATTTACAGTATAAGGTACCCACCTCACACTGAAAAGAAACTTTCCAACATTCTGTGGCTACAAGGAGCCGGAAAGCAACCATCTTCCGGTGGAGTTCTTTCTTATTTCAAGTTTTGGTAAAAGTAGGTAATTCATACGAAAGTTCATACTCAGTTTCCAGCTTTGTCGTGTCATCAAGGTTTTGTCATAACATGAAAATGCTTAGTATTGTTTTAAGTCCTTAACCTGCTGAATTTTTTAAATTGACTTGTCCAGCTTCCATTTTTGGAACTTTCTATTATCAATATTGGGGATGTCAAGAGGAAAATTTTAGAGACTGGTTGTATGTACAGATAGGTAAGCTGGCCTGGCTCTAGACTGGTGTATGATGTCTGATTTGGAACACTTTTGTGTGTCGTGTTGTTGCTAGCAATGCACGCCAAACGGCGCTTTGTCACGCGGTGTGTTGTCGCAATGTCACATTGTCGCTCGGTTTTAAAACATAAGGATTTGCTATTTGTATATATATAAGCTAAGTGACAGGGCGACAATGCGCAGCACAACAACACACCACTTTGTGTGCTTTGCTAGCAACAGGTCAACAGTGCAACAAGGTGCTTTGTACCATGTCGCTATTGACAACGCAACACACAGAGTGTACCAAAGCAGCCACCTAACTGGTGGCTTTTTGTTAACTGTACAAAAAAATGAAGTAATTGTAATTTAATCAATTACAGACAAATGTAATTTGCCCCAAGTCTGGTGGCTAAGACTAATCACCTTTGAAGTTTCAGCAGATTAAGTATTATAAAGGACTTCAGAAATCTAAAAATCTATAAAAACTATGAAAAGTCTGGAAAAGATTTTAAAAGATTTTTATAGTTATATATACATGTATTTTGAATTAATTTAGATTCTGACCTGCTTATGGAAATCATGTTATGACAAGATAGTTTCTTCCATGTATTAATGTTATCCCTTTGTACCTTTCACAATTTTGCTATTATGCCAATACTATCCAAAAAAAGTCTTGCCCTTGAGCTTGAGAAACAGTCTAAAAATACTCCTCTGCCATTGGTCAGCTCTGAAAAATTCAAATTTGAATCATCCAATCAGATGCTAGAATTTCAGACTGGTTTTCAAGTTCTATTTTTGAACAGGTAAATCTAGATGGTGAAGTTTATTTTTCCCTCTTTCCTAGTGCAAGGTATCCCCCTTACACAGGCACAAAAGCCATGACCGTTGATTTTATACAGGGTAACGGAAAACAGCCGCGAAGTGAAGGCAGTGGGTGCTCTATATCCTAGACACACTGCTTGAAGGTATTTTCTACATAGCTTCTTCTGGTTTTCTTGTGGTTGCATAATTTTTATATCTTTCTATATTGTGTAACAACGCTACATGGCCATTGATCTACTAAAAAGGAAAGGAATAAATTCTGAAAAAAGGAAGAAAAAACTCCTTGAAAGATTCAGTAAAGGAAACAAACTCGTCAGAAATGAAAGGCAAAATATAAAACTAACATGCTGCAGACTTACCCTTTATATATACATGTAATTAAAAATGTGGCCAAAAATAAGTAAAAAGAAAAGGAAAAAAAATCTATATTCGCATATGTTGATAAAAATCCAACATGTGTTTTACATATTTTGTACGAGAAGTAATTACGGAATTATGTGAAAAGAAATTATGGGATCAAAACTAAAAGTTGATCAATGGCCATACTGTTTTGATTGAGTTGTTGAGTTATTCAAAATGTTTCCCAATTCAGATATTGTATCTACTATCTGTATATCTCTTTTAGCTGTCAAAAGCAATGGTGTATATGGTACTTCAGATGTTTTTGTTTGTTTGTGTGGATTTAATGTTAATGAAGGAAAAAAGAATGGTAATTTTAGTACTGAAAATGGAAATGAAAGAAAAAATTTGTTTTTCTTCATAAGAACTACTTACCCTCAGAGTATGATTTTATAGAGAGATTCTAAACTTGAATGGTGATGCATTTTGAATACTTAAACTCTGATTGGTTTGTACACGACAACTAACTGGGCTAACATTATAACCTTGTGAATGAACCGCACATCACCTTTTTCTATTCGGCAGTATGAGATACCCACCGTGCACAAGTCAAAAGGAAAAAACTGCCGCATGGTTGTTGAAAAAGAAGTTGAAAAGCAATGGACCCATGTCTTACGTTCCATACTTCATTTTTGGAACACTGTTTGCAGTTTTTTTGAAGGTAACATATATAATTCTAATTGAAATGAATCAAAATTTAGGAGTCTATGCAAATCATTTTCTTATCTCTGAATCCCTTCAATCATTTTAGTGACAGCAAAATTGGAGAACTGAAAACAAAATTTGCAAAGTCAACATTGACATTTGCCTTTGCAAAAGCCGAAGAGCTAGCATGTTTTGTCAACTTTAAACCATAATGTGCTCTTGATAAGCAAGTTTCTGTTAAAACCACTCTGTTGAAAAACAAAGTTGCTTTATCGATAATGAACCTAGCTGTTGCTACATATATTAATGGAAGATTATTTTGTGGCCTGAAAATTACATTTTTATTTACCTCATTTGGTTATTTTTGAAGCACAATTAACTTTTTAGTTGAAATAAAATTGTCATTTTTGGGGGTTTAGAATTATATTACAATATAGATTTATTACTGAGCACATTTAACTCCCTCTTTTTGACAAGTTTGCATGTACTTTTGTGTTGAAAGTAAGCAATTTTTTGTATCTAAATTACTTATTTGGACAATATTCTTTGACGAAACATATAAGCCATTGGCCTTGGCAATGTCTCTATAGGAAAAAAGTTCTATTTTCAACTTCTTAGTCATCTCATATTGGTGTTGTAACATTTACCTATTATCAAAAATGAATTAGTAGAGCATACACCACTAAATTTGTAGAGCATACAACACTAGATTTTCTTTTCCTCCAGTATATTATCACCATATCTACCTAGTCATTATCCTACAGTAATATTTAGTATTCATTATACACAGACTAAACTTTCTAAATGTTGGTTTCATACATCTTAGCACTTAGAATTTTAAAAATAAAATTATATTTAGTATTGAACTTAAAATTTCATGTAGAAATCAAGCAGGAAACAATTATAATAACAAAAATAAGTATGTCATTTTTTTCACAGTCATTACATATTTTAAAAATTAAGCACTATATGGTTTTTTAAAGCAATAGACAACAGTGTGATGTACACTGGATCCATGTTTTATGCTTTTTACATAATACATTTATATTTCCTTAATAATTATTCTAATATTTAGGATTAATTAATTTTGAATAATATTATATAAATTAAAAGAAATTTTTCTCATACCGTGTCCAACAAAATGTAAGAACTTGCACACATGACAAACATGTGTATATACATGTGCATTTACATCTTTATTAGCTCACCAGAGCCGAAGGCTCAGGGTGAACTATTAGTATCTAAGGGGGATACTCCGTCGTCCGTCGTCATGCGTCTTCTTCTCTGAAACTGCTGGACAGATTTACTTCAAATTTGGTCTGTAGCATCCTTGTGACAGTCACACTTGAATTTGTTCATGTCATTTCAATTGGCCCCTTTTAGGGGTCATTAGAGCTAAAAATAGAAAAACCTTTAAACATCTTCTACTACAGAACTAATTGATGGATAATCACCAAACTTTGTCTGTAGCATTCTTGGGTAGTCTTTTATCAAATTTGCTCATATTAATTTGATTGGCCCCTTTTAGGGGTCTCTAGGGCTAAAAATAGAAAAACCTTTAGACATCTTCTTCTACAGAACTAATGGATGGATGATCACCAAACTTTGTATCATTCTTGGGTAGTCTTTTATCAAGTTTGCTCATATTAATTTGATTGGCCCCTTTTAGGGGCCACTAAAGCTAAAAATAGAAATACCTTTAAACATCTATATCTAGAGAACTAATTGATGGATGATCACCAAACTTTGTCTGTAGCATTCTTGGGTAGTCTTTTATCAAATTTGCTCATATTAATTTGATTGGCCCCTTTTAGGGGTCTCTAGGGCTAAAAATAGAAAAACCTTTAGACATCTTCTTCTACAGAACTAATTGATGGATGATCACCAAACTTTGTCTGTAGCATTCTTGGGTAGTCTTTTATCAAGTTTGCTCATATTAATTTGATTTGCCCCTTTTAGGGGCCGCTAAAGCTAAAAATAGAAATACCTTTAAACATCTATATCTAGAGAACTAATTGATGGATGATCACCAAACTTTGTCTGTAGCATTCTTTGGTAGTCTTTTATCAAATTTGCTCATATTAATTTGATTGGCCCCTTTTAGGGGTCTCTAGGGCTAAAAATAGAAAAACCTTTAGACATCTTCTTCTACAGAACTAATTGATGGATGATCACCAAACTTTGTCTGTAGCATTCTTGGGTAGTTTTTTATCAAGTTTGCTCATATTAATTTGATTTGCCCCTTTTAGGGGCCGCTAAAGCTAAAAATAGAAATACCTTTAAACATCTATATCTAGAGAACTAATTGATGGATGATCACCAAACTTTGTCTGTAGCATTCTTGGGTAGTCTTTTATCAAGTTTGCTCATATTAATTTGATTGGCCCCTTTTAGGGGTCTCTAGGGCTAAAAATAGAAAAACCTTTAAATGTCTTCTTCTACAGAACTAATTGATGAATGATCACCAAAATTTGTCTGTACCATTGTTGGGTAGTCTTAAACTCTTTTTATCAATTTTGATCTTATTGATTTGATTGGCCCCTTTTAGGGTCCACTTAAGCTTAAAATAGAAAAACCTTTAAATGTCTTCTTCTACAGAACTAATAGATGGATTATCACCAAACTTTGTCTGTAGCATTCTTGGGTAGTATGATACAAATGTATCAAGTTTGCTCATATTAATGTGATTGGCCCCTTTTTAGGGGCAGCTAAAGCTAATACCTTTAAACGTCTATTTCTACATAACTTATTGATTGATGATCACCAAACTTTGTCTGTAGCATTCTTGGGTAGTCTTTTATCAACATTGATCATATTAATTTGATTGGCCCCTTTTAGAGGTCTCTAGAGCTACATGTAAAAATAGAAAAACCTTTAAACATCTTCTTCAACAGAACTAATAGATGGATGATCACCAAACTTTGTCTGTAGCATTCTTGGGTAGTATGATATAAAATTTGCTCATATTAATATGATTAGCCCCTTTTAAGGGGCAGCTAAAGCTCAAAATAGAAATACCTTTAAACATCTATTTCTACAGAACTTATTGATTGATGATCACCAAACTTTGTCTGTAGCATTCTTGGGTAGTCTTTTATCAACATTGATCATATTAATTTGATTGGGGCAGTTTAAGCTTAAGCTTAAATGCCCAGGTCATGGCATTTCTTCAAATTATTGTTGAAACATATTCTATGCTCAAATTAAATATCAGAAAATATTGACAATGGATAATTTCCAACTCTGAAAAGCAGTTGTTTCTGGTGAGCGACTCAGGGCCATCATGGCCCTCTTGTTCTTAATTTCTTATATACACTGCATAGAGTAAATAAAACACCAATTTTGATGTTTAGGAATTTTGTTTTGTGTATTATTCATTCTGATGTCATTTTCATTGAATTATGAATATATTTTCTTAAAAATTGTATATGTGACAATGAAAATAATAATGTTTTTGGTGCATTTTGAAGTTGCAACTTGTACTCATGCAGTTATAAGTTTACAAAAGGTTGGTTGTTCTACAAAAGGGCTTGCAGATGCCAGAAATTTGATGGGGACATGGGGAGTAGGCTGAAAAATAGCATACGACCATAACTGTGTCAGTGTGAAGTAACCTGGGACATTTTGCAGTATCTTAATGTGTACTCCTTTAAAATCTGATGGTACAGTTGGAATTAGTGTTCTTTGTTAGAATGAAATTTCCATATCACATAAATTGCAGTGTAGCTAAAGCTTAAAGATAAAACTGAAATTTTGAATTATTCTGATAAGACCTTGACCTTTTATTGACATTGACCAGTAGGGTCAAACTATTGAATTTTGCTTTAATTGCCATAACTTTGATATTTATTTAAAGATTTAATTCACATTTGGACAAAAGAACACTTATGATGAAACTGAAATGATGACTTATTCAAATGTGACCTTGACCTTTTAATGACCTTGACCATCAAGGTCAAATATGATATTTGATTTTTACTTCTTAAAAGAAAACTATGTTTTCAAGGAGTACTCACTTTTATTATATTCTTTCTCTAATGTGTTTAACTCAGAAATAAGAAAAAGTTGAGCATTGCCTCTTGCTATGTACATATAAGTTATTGTTTTCATGATTTCATGATCGAATACTTGTACTATTACTATTACAAACAAAATTGGTTTCTTTTTCAGCTATACATGAAATATTATAGATGAGTAAACATGTAAGTGTGTCCTGTCACTAAACAAGTTGTATATTAGTTTTAGTATAATAATAAAGTAAAAGCATGGTTGTTGGTAAGTTAATATGCTTCATGTGCCATCATGTTCATTATCGTGGTTATAAAGTACTAAATATACAAATTTCAAAGGTTCTAGAGTACTAAATACAGTTTTCTTCAGGATTGGGTTTAGCTCACACTGACACAGTAAAGGTCATAATATGAATTTTTTAAGTTTAAATTGCTGTAGGAAAAGCTGAGGTGTTCCTTTGTGTATTATTTTAGTCATGATCAGGCACCTGAGTAGAACAGCTGACCATATATAAGGTTGTCAAAATAATAAAACTTGTTAAGGAGACATCAGATAATTTATATATTTTTAAACACATATTCTATCTGATAAAGTTTGGTTCTGTTTTGAGTGATACAAGCTCTTTTATGACCTTTCTAGATTAAATGGAAGAGAAAGTCTTAAATGTTTTAGACAAACCTTCTCCATGAAAGAATATGTCTGCTGTGTATCTTCTTATCTTCTGCACACAGAATTATTTAACCCATTACTGCATGAGCATTTTGTGAAAAATGGCTGTTTTCATTGAAAAGTCTCCCGTTTCAAGTTCAAATTGCTATAAAACTATATAAACTGCTTTAATACTAATCAAACTTGGCACAAATGTTGACTGGACCATTGCCTTTGTAACAACATACTCAATCTTAAATTTCCTGTTACAATGGCAACGAGAGGACATCTCAAAATTGCCAAAAATCACTATTTTGCGTTGATTTTTTCCATCAAAATTTATTTCAAAGTGCTGCAACTTCTCAATGGATTGAGATAGAGTCAAAGGCTTTTCAGAGTTGGTTACACGTTACCTTATGATCGACCTCTCACAAGTCCAAAATTTTCTTGGCGATGAGGGGGACTGCTGCCCCCCCTTCAAACCCCCTGATGTATCTTTTGGATAGGGGATGGCGCCAAAAAAGTGGTCACTTTTTTAAACAACATTTCTCAAACAAAAACAAGTGTTGGGGGCCTAGATAAGGCATTTTTTCACCATTTGAGACAACAAGAAAGGGGGCGGGGGTGAAAAAGGCGTGTATATCTGGTAATGGGTTAATGTCCATCACATGATTTGAACTTATTTTCAATGTTGGTAACCTTGAAGACTATAACAGATATATTCTTAGACATTAAAGTACCCTTCCTCTTACCTCTGTGAGTTCAAATTATATGTTAAGAATCTCACAAAAGTGGGTTTGAATCTCTCTAGGAACTTTGGATTCTTTCATCTGAACCAGTTTCCCAATCAGAGCCAACAGAAGATTTGTGCTTTACTATCCCACATAAGTCAATGGAAGATCATTGGTTCTACACAGTTGCCCATTTCTGCCTGAAATAATGCACAAAGGGGCGGACCTGAGGTCTTTCTCCACTACTATAGCTGTAAAGTCACCATTAAATAACTAATGAAATCAAAGATGTACAGGTTTAGAGAATACAAAATTGTATAGATTGTAGTTGCATTACTGAAAATTTACTTAAACTTATTTGATATTTTTTTTCTATATTTTCCTTTTACAAATATTATAGGTATGCTTCCTTTTGCCAGTGCTTTTGGATGACAGCAATTTTGCTATTTTTACAGGCTACAATGATATGTTATTTATACCAATTCATGTTTATTTATTCTCTTTAAAGAGTAATCTTTAAAAGACAGCAGCTTTGGGGTTTATGTTTCAAGATGGCAATTTCTTAAGGTTAGAAATTACAGTGACTTTATTAACCAGTTTGAAACATTTGAAGCTCACCAGAATCGAAGGTTCAGAGTGGGGTTTATGGTATAGAGGGATACTCTGGCATGTTGTATCAACAATACACAGATAGATTTCCTCTAGAACCACATGTAATTTAGTCTTTGGCATATCTTTAAGGGGTCACCAGAGATAAACCTGAAAACAACTAATTGTCAGCAAATAAATTTGTCTATATTGATGGCTATCTGTTTGGTTATTGTGGATTGTCATTTGTCCAGTGTTTTAAGCCTTAATTTGCTTGAATAAAAAATAATGAAAATTGATCAGCCTTATAATGTCACCCAAGTATAGAGTCAGGTCAGTGTGCACATCCACGCAGTATAAACATGCTCTATACTGTTGGTGGTAGCTTAACTTTATTATTTAAGTCCTTTGAAATTCAAATAAACTGCTTTCAATTTATTTGTTTGCAAATCCATTTCACAAAGTCAGCATGTTTTGGGTAAATTCATAGACTGTTATAAGATTAAAAACATGTTATATGTAGAAACCTTCTGAACAAACAAATAAACGAACAGACCATTTATTCTGGTGAGAAATTTAGGGGCCATCACGACCATTTTGTCACTATTTAATCAGAGAACTACTTATTCATGGAGGATGAGATATAGTTATCATTTGCTTGTTGTGCCTCAGTATCACCTTTATATTCCTGTCAATGATGTTCCTACCAAATCCCAGTTGACTTTATATATAAATTGTCTTGAAACTATTTCTCTCTTGATCATTTGTCCAAAGAATGACTGCTATTTTTTGCTTGCCAAAATCACCATTAGGATGTTTGTTGTTGTTATAGTGTTACCATTGTTATTATTATTTAAACTTGCAAAACACATGTTTTGTTCATATTATGCATATACATACAGTCTGACCAGGCTCTATACTGTAGGTAGGTCAATTCCTTTGTTTTAATTCTAAAATCAAAGCTCTGCAAACTCTACAGATCAAAGGTTAATGTATGCCAGTCATAACATATCTAATGATATATTTTTACTAACAACAGAGCAACTAATCTAGGTATATATATGTTTTATAGTTTAGACTCACCTAGTAGGTTTTTGCTAAAAAAAAGCAATATTTTACACCAAGCTTACAATTATGTCTGAATTATATCAAATGTAAAATCTCAATGTGTAAGGTCACCTTTTTTATTTCTGTTTCATGTTCAGATGTAATTCAAATATTTTCAGAACTTTTGTTTTCATTAAATCTGTTTTCAAAGCTTAATTCAAACAGAGGTAAGACTTTGCCAGCCCTCTTAAAATATGGCAGAGAAGATGAAGATTTTCTATGTAAAGCTTAAAATTTAACTCACAACATTTAAGTGACTGATTTGACAACACCATATAATGTTTTTGAATGATTATATTTCATAGCTTCTGTTTTTCAATAGATTTACTGAATTTTCCAATTCCAATTAATTATTCATTTTTTTGGCAACATGCCAATAAGGTTTATGGCATTATTGCAGGGTTGGCAATATGCTAAATGTTGTCATTGCCACTATTTCAAAATAATAGAATAACAAGTGTGGGTGTTGCTATTACTCTGAAATTAAATTCTAAACTATCTGACTCTAAATGATGATACATTTTGATTGTTAACTATTCCTTGATGTTTGCTTAATGGTTATTTAAGACTTAAGTGTCTTTAAAATAAATGTTTAAGATTTTATATATTTCAGATTTTCTTTGCTCCTGAGTCATCCATCTACAATATTTTTTCAAAATAAAGGCTTGAATAATTGGAGGAAACGCCAAAAAGAAAAATTAGTAACATTGGAGCCACAGAGATGACCAGCACATGAAATAAAGAAGAAAAAAACATTATTTTGAAAATAGACTAATGAAAGTGGAACTTTATTCTTGTTACCATATTAATTGACATTTAGAAAGTTTAAGTTTGACCTCCAGCAATGACTGACCATCAACTGAAATAAGAAACCATTTATTTTTGAAAACGAAGCGATAAAAATGGGAAATTTACTCTTTGATTTATAAAATGTTTGACATGTATAATAAAGATATTTTGTTTGTTTTGTTTTATGTTACGGATATATTAATGTTGTGAATGTATATAGAAATGTGAAGGAATAAACATATATGCCTTATACACAAATACTGTACATGTGCATTTGTATGACAAATGTATAATACTGTAATAATTTTTGTATAATTGTTATATGCATGCATGTATGTTATGATTTTTACAGTAAATTTAATAATGAGTTTACTTTTTTGGTTGAATGATGAATTGTTAAAATAATAACCTTTTTTACAATAATTTATATATATATGTCTCTTTGGTTGCTGTTCTGCCAATCAGGTTTTGGGGGGTAGTACGAAAGGGAGGGATTTATGTTAATTAGTAGGATGAGAAAAGTGGGAGGAGTTTAACTTATTTTCTATCTGTGATATAAAGAACCAACCGTGACTCAAATTATTAAATTAATACAATGCTTTAATTTTATATTGAAATCATTGTCAATGTTGATTGTTTGCCTTGCAAAGGCAATCAGATGGACCAAAAAGAAACCATAAATATCAGGCTAAGAAAAGTTGTCTGAAAAATAATGAGAACTACATGTATATCTGCACCTTGCTGTCAGTATTGTCGATGTGTAATCATTTGATGCATCAAGTTATTTTTAGAATGAAACAAGCTATTTTTAGATTAGCACAAAATGTTTAAAGATTTGTACGAATTATTTTTAGAATGTTGTAATGTTGTAATAGTGTATATCAATAATAATGTGACATAAAAATGTATGCTTTTGTAAAATCATTATAATTAAAGCAAAGAGAGATAAATACATGATTATCTGTGAAAATTTTTATTATATGTTAATGTTATCCAGTAATATCCTTTAAACCTGCAGAAATAGGAAGTTATTAGCCTTTGCCACAAGTGAGAGTGGATGTTAGTGTTTAAGCTAATATCATGTATAAGTTAGGGGGGGGGGGGGATATTGTACTTTTTCATTTTCTCTCATAAAAAGGCTAAATCAAACCCAAAGTCTGCAATGTCCATGTAATATTGTTTTCAGTATGTCAACCTGTGCCCAGATTGTTATACTGTTGGTAGTTCATTTTTTTTTGGTATTTTAATATTGAGATCCCTGAAACTTTGAATTGATTTTGTTGAATTGATTTTGAATTTAATTGAATTGTTTTACTTCAGTTGCTGGAAATTGATATTTATAATTCATCAGCAACAAAGACCTATGCAGATAATTATGTGTTAACCATATTCAATCACTTTTGAATGTCACTTTTTGTATGGAATCCTTTTATATGCTCACTGAGTAAATTGTTTCCTTAAACTCTATTCAATTCATATAATATAATGTGTATATATACTTTAACTATTTAATAACTTAGATAAAAAAGGTAGGTAAATACTGGTATATTTCCAGCTCTTTTCCAGATATGAAATACTTGCATGGTCAATGAATGAATTGTAAATTTTCTGTAATTTGCTCGTAAACTGAAACTGTGTTCTAAAACTGTAAACAAATATTCTTTTTTACCAAAGTTTGTTTAATACAAAAACCAATTAGTGCTTGTATATATAGATGCATGTGCTTACATGAATTTTGAAAAAGATTGATTCATGACATTGTCATATGTATCTTTTTAATGAATAAAAAATAAATGAAAATTTGTTTCGTTGTTAAACTCATAATTTAAATTATTTAATATTATTTGTGCATAAGTTCCTTATTTGTATGTATTTCAATTAGTGAATAGTACGTGTACTTTAACCCTTTTCTGTTTCACAAGTAAAAGCATTGACTAGACTAGCGGCTGCATTGCGAGAAATACAAATAAGCATAATTCTACTGCACTGGATTATACTGTAATTCGGAATAAGTAACATATGAAAAAAAAATGTCACGAGGCTGATCATAATTTTCATTTAATGAATATGAGGAATTAAAATGCATATACTTGATCACTTTATTGCTCTTTTATATATAATTCCAGAAATATTTTGTTTGAATTTTATTTCAACAATGTAAATGTTTCAATGTCCATACTAGCTAGTATTATCCTTGAAATTGCTCGGTACCCATCATTCTATCTTGTAGACATTTGGCAATTAATTGACCCGAATTTTGGAAAATCCTGATACAGTTCATTCGTCTGATATTTTCAGCATGGCTTCTCCGAACTAATCTTTCAAGATCACCATTTAATGGTTCATCAGCACTATCTCTTTTATTGTTCATGATAGCAGACGGCGGCATTGCAGGGGCATAGTCACTGAGTCGTATTTCCGGTTCCGGTTGACACTCGTTTAAATATTTCCTGATGTCATCATCGTCTGCGAGTTGTGTTATGAATAAATCGTCTGTATCTTTATAAGCGTCAGATAATAGATTTCTACAAGATGATGCACCGTCTGCTTTTTGAAAAGTATTACCAACATATCCTGTACCAATACATAAACAAATATCAAAACGAGGATAAAATAAATTTAAGGAGAAATATTCGAACATTCTATCTATGTCCAATGTCAAAATTTAAGAAATTTAATATTATTTGTTTTCCATAGAGAAAACTTCTGATTCTTTCTTGCCTTCGGTTTGTACAGAGACATATAGATAACAGAGATAGGCAACTTCCTAGCCAGTTAAGATACCACTAGCTCAGTAGGTATGTTCTGCTATGTTTTTCTAAATGAAAGGCATGGACAGTTACCAATATTTTAAAATACAGCAATAGATAAAAGATTTAGCATTTTTAAATGGTGTATAATATAGAGGGGTCAAATCTACATGCATTAAGCTTTACTTGTTACAAAATGCCTAACTTTTTGATAGGCATGAGTGATATTTCAATGGACTATATAAGAGCTGCTTATCTCTGTTATCTACATCTCTGGTTTGAACATTTTAAATCCAAGAAGATAAAAAAAAGTCAACATTAAAGTACATTGTAATTGAAACAGACTTACTGAACAAGTGTCAATTTTGTCAATCATAGTCGAGTGGTAGTTTAAATAAAACTTCAATGAAATAATACGACATTTATGCCATACTTATGCAATGAAATCTGATCAGGCTATGTAGCTTTATTTTTTTGATATTGAAAACCCTTTAACTTTGAATGGACTGTTTCAAATTCAAAACTGGGCAAATCCATTACTATAATCAAGCATGTTATAATGATACAATGAATTCTTTTTGAATTGAAACTATTCTTTTAAATGTTAAAGTAAAATGAATTTATACTAGCCTTTTTCATCTCAAATGGTCAAGGGAAATATGTTATGAAAGTAAAATGGAATTTATACTAGCTATTTTCATATCAAATGATCAAGTGAAATAATTGAAATATAGATACTTACCCAAACGCCTAAGCAGATCTAAAACTTCGACAGGGTAACCGGACGACAGTTGCAAAAGGTGCACTAAACAGATTGTGAAACAACTAGAGGTCATGCCAATCATAATGACTTGATACTGACATTAAAATCCCACAAATAATTGTCCAAAATATCAAATGAACCTTAGACTGTATAGCATCCTTATATATACCCAATTTTTAACACATTTTCACTTTCAACATAGATGTAAACGACTTTTCCGGTACAGATATACATTCAACGTTTTATAAATAAAAAAAGGGAAAGGCATGACATTCGAAACCTTGAAATAGTTAAATCATAAAATATTTATATGCTGTAGAGCATATTGCTTTTATTTTTATATATTGATTTAAAACTGATTTTATCTCAGACATTTCAAGAGTGATTAATGTAACAGTTTTCAATGTCTCTTGGGGGAGATAAAATGAACAGCTAGGGATTCGAATATACAGTTGAGTTCACACTAAACTTCCCACCCTTGTGCACTTCTAGTGCACTAGAGCTGAACTAGAAGTGCACTAGAAGTGCACTTCTAGTGCACTAGACCATATGACCAGGCTGGCCAGGGAAGGTGACACGTAAATGGTTTTTTGGATAATTGTATATCAGGGGGGGGGGGGGGGGGGGCATCTATTGTTACGCTGCTGTATGCAAAAAAAATTGGGAAAACATATATATGGCCTATTCATGAATATAAATAAGTAAATTTTAAAATCAGCAGTTTTAACATTTTAGGTGATTATCATGTTGAAGCTTAAAATTAAAATGTTTTTTTCATTTATTGTAATCATATTTTTATTAACCAGTATTTAAAGTGAAAAATAATACCCCTTAAAATCAAATTAATAGAATTAATAAGGTTAAATTTAAATATGCTCCGTAATGGATAATTAAATAAGTGTTTTTAAAGCTTTTTTAAATGGCCATATATTTCAATTTTTCTAGTATACAAATGGTATAAATCAATGTGATAATTCTGGCCCAATTAATTTAGTTTGTTACATCATTAACTTTTTTTCATAAGCTCAAACAAATCAAGGAAAGGATATATTTAAGCTGAAATATTATTTCTATAATATATAACTTAGAGAAAATTCATCATGTTCAATATTGAAAGAGAATATTAATACATTGATTTTAAAACAATCAATATACTGTGATAATTTAGTATTCAACTGTGTAATGCTTGCATATGTTTATGCAAATAATTTAAATATTATCCATAAAATAAATAAATTTGATATCTTTATTCATTTATTTCAATATTAAAAATTTAATGTATAAAGGGAATACTTTTATTGAAGAGGAAAATCTCAAGTCATGCTGTGTATTGGTATTTTCTGAGAGGGACTGTTTTCAATATACCACTCTCCTGCTGATAAGAGGGCCTCAGGGTAAATAACAAAGAACAGTCAATTTTGCAGATTTATAAGAATGCATTGAAATTCCCTAGTTTTCTCAAAATGCATGTTTGACATAAGCCTGGGATTCATCAGGCGTTGGCACTCAGTAAATGACCATAATTTTTGTATAATCAAATATACAAAAAAAACATAAAGGCATAAATGCATAATAGATATTTATCAGATACATAGATAGATGTTATCTATGTCTCTGATATTATTGTCTCTAAAGCGGAATTTTCTATATGTATCCATTTATCCACATTTCTTGCCATCTGTACATAGAAATTTATACGAAAGCACGAAGTAATACCAAAAAGCATTTCATAATGAAATGTGTGTTTTAAACAAACTTTTCAGCTTATTTTAGCTCGACTTTTACGAAGAAAAATTCGAGCTACAACTGTTTCATGGTGCTGTCCCATGCAGTTGCGCCGTTGTCGCTTCCATCTGCAAACTAAACATTGCTCATAATTATAAATTCTTTATAACAACCCAAGTAGACCAGACAGAATTGGAAAATGTCTTGTAAATGACATGTCCTTCCATGTATTCTTTTTTTGCATTCTTTTTTAATTATTTGATTTTTAAACTCAACTCAAATAGCAATAGCTTTGTTATTTATTTTGACTGCATTGATATCAAACTTGGTTAAAACAATCATTAGGACAAGACCATTAAGTAGACTACATTGATCGTGACACTGACTCACAAATGACTGGCCATCAATGTCAAATTCTGTTTTTTCCCTTAGATTCTTGTAACTTTTGATATCTATTTACCGTTAGACAAAACGGCTCTTATGACAGATACATTGAAAGTGTTGACGGATTCAAATAAACGCATAGACAATAAAATGTTCTTGATGGTCAAGGTCAAATTATTGAATTTTACTTTAATTGTGAAAACTTTATCATATATATACGATTATTTTCACCAAAACAACATTAATTGCAAAACTAACTTTGACCGTCGTAACTTTGTTATTAAATATAATAGACAAAAATTTGATTCCTATTGGTACAAAACAACACTTTAGGTTACACCAACATGTATGACTAATATATTTCAAAATAATTTACTGCAAAAAATATTGTGAAATTGTGTACAAGACAATTGTTTTCCTGGAGAACCCTTTACAACAGTATTCTTCCTCCGATGTGTTTGACTTGAAATTTGAAATTTTGGGCGTGACTTCCGCTTGGCGGTGGCTTTTGCAGTTTTATTGTATGAAAATATATTTTAAAAAATCGTCTGTGTAATTATCATACTTTAATTGTACTTAAAATTAATCGTCTGTAGGCAAATATCAAAAGTCAGCTTTGCGCTTTACTCCATTTAAGTCACGTATGAATTTATATAACATTTTAATCTCGATATATTTACGATATTTACACAAGACTTGTTCATCACGTATTTGCTCACGAAAATCGTGACTTTCATTCTTTCATGTGGACCCAACGCTTTGATAGCTAGTACATGTAACATAATTATATGAAAGAACTGGAAAATGTCCAAGAATACCACAAAATTAAGATAATTGCAAAAAATTTCAATGTATATATAATTTTTCATTTTTGTACTTTCTACATGTGATATTTATTGTCCCTCGCCTTTTCTAAGAAAAATGAAGGATATTAAAATGGCCCCATCTGTCTGTCTGTTCATCAGTGTGACATCTTCCCGTGTCTGGTCAATAACTCAGCCATTCATAAAGGAATTTTAAAATATCATGCCACAAAAGTTTAATATAATAAAGCGACACCAAGACCAATACCCCATCTCCGAGGTCAATACACAAATGTCTACATTGTACATTTCGTGTCCGGTTCATAACTTTTCATCCATCAAGGGATTTTGGCACAAATATGTGTTTACTAAGTAGGACGGCGTGTCAGTCATGCGCAACACCAAAAAACTTCTACCTCCAAGGTCTAGGTCACACTTAGAGGCAAGCCAACACTTAGAGGTCAAAGCCCAACACGGTCTGTTAAAGGTTTTTTCTGATCCACAACTTTTTCGTTCATCAACGGCTTTTGAAATCAGTTTGTACAAGTACGAGCGTATATACCGAATTACGACAAGGCGCCATTCGCAACACCAGGTCCTCTACCACAAAAGTCAAGGTCAGATGTTAATCTGGTCTGTATTTTACTTGTCCAGAGGATAACTCCGCACATATCATATAGGTTCCTCTGAAACTTAAATGACTGAGAGCGAGTTCCAAAATAAAGGATCGTATCTTTCAGACTGGCTTGACGTCCTCCCAGGGTTTTGCAAATCGGCTAATCAGTAGCACCTGCCAGATGTTTCGATAAGCATTGCTAACATAACACAACACCCTTTCTGTTTTCCACAGACTAATTTTCGATGAACGTTAACCAAATAATTGTATGTGTCTTTTTTAATCGGACCAATTTGTAAATTAATACGAATACCCCAAAAGTAATTGAGTAATTTTGAGAGCGGTTTGTCTTAATTTTCCAACTGTAAACAGGCAAACTATAACTTTCATTAAATGTTTCAGTAAATTATGAATAACATATCTTTTTAAGTTCTTTTGTATTTCCATTGAATGATAGCTTCAGTCAATGGGGGTTTGACTCCTTTAAATACCATTTTTACAGGCAATTTTAGGTTAACTCATATGACTATATTTGTTACTTTTCGAACAAAGTGTCATTCAAATTGTTAAAAAATTGTAAACTCGTTTTTATTTAGTATGTTCATGAGGGATGATGGAAATTTGAGTCATCATTTCTTAGCCACCCAAGCACCGACTCAAGCGTTATTGAATTTTCAGCAGTAAAAGTGTTGGAACCAATAATACGAATGATGAAGGAGAACAACAACAACAGTACTTCAATGGGGGTAACCTTTACAGCTATCGCACAGGATTTAGCACCTGCTGTTTTGAGCAAAATCAATCTGGAGATAGAAGATCCGTTGAGGGCAATGAAAGCAAAAAAGAATAGTTGACAATCGCAGACAACTTGGTTGTTCTAAGGATGTATACTGGAGATAATGGAAAGTGAAACAAGCAAAGACTACATGTACTGACAATAATTTTATATCATCCAGATACTATGTCTTTATAAATTACAAAGAGAATTCCAAGACTTTATTTACGTCTGAAAGTTTCATTTTGTGTACTTAATATTTATTTATGTATGCAACTAATGCACTCTTAAAATATTCTAAACGCAAATGAAAGTTCGGGGGACATAAATCTTGAATGTCTATTAATTTTTAATATGTTATGAGACGCTTGTCGTGCATTTTCACTGGTAACAAAGCTTTACTGTGAAATCAAGATTAGTTTACAAATAAAACTTAAAACCATTTTGTCTGCAAACGAATGTTATAATGATCATTACTTTCAATAAAACATATCTGCGGAATAATTTCATTTTAATTTATTGATTTAAATCACAGATGTTCAGCTGTCTTACAAAAGAAGTATCATTCTGCAATCGCTGAACAAAATGATGTATTTGTTACATGTTAAGTGGCAATGCAATGTAACAGTGAATGGCAAAACCGGCTTCCGTCAAGGGTTTGTAAATCCATGTCAAAGTTCCTGCTGTTCCTCGGGATGGGACCTTAGTTACAATTGGCTGATTCATAACCGTTGCTTTTCATGGGATAATCGTGACGGTTACTGTCAATTTATGAAGAAATCTCACTTTTTTCTTTTAAAGAAGATGCATGCTGTATCATAAATTCGTTATAAATATTTATGACAGGTTATATGGTCGTATATAAACGGTTGTTTGTAATATTTCCAAACAACCGTTTACATAGGGCATATAACCTGACAAAAATAACACTTAATAACTATTATTATTAATTAACTTTTCAATATTAGGCACGTTTTTACTTCAAATGTAAGGCTAATATGAAGTTCACCACGACATTATGAACATAAAACAAGCCCATTATGTAAAAAGTACGGCCATTATGAAAAAACTCGGCTATTATGAGATTGGAGAATTTTGATTGGTTCTCCAGCTCGGCCATTATGAATCTGCTTTTTTTCTTCATTGAAAAAAGTCGCAATTTTGAATTGCTGCAAGGTAGATTTCCGAGACATTTTTAAAACAGAAATCTCATTTGCAATACCTCACAACAACGGAATTTCTCGTTAGTTATTTTTTGTTCACTAAGTACTTAAGTTTTTAAGATTATGTGTAGTTAATTAATAAAATTGTCAATAATTAAGTGTCTTCATAATGGCCTTGTTATTGGGCTTTAGACTGTCATATTAGCCGTCGGCCTTTGGCCTCAGGCTAATATGACAGTCTTCAGCCCAATAACAAGGCCATTAAGAAAACACTTAATTATTAACATTATAATATAAACGCCGCGATAAGCCAATGAAATTCGACGATTCAAAATTACAAAAATGATAGTTCTTATAGCATGAGGAAAGCTTACATTTGATTTTAGGCCATCATTTTGACTACAGAATGAATTTTTTGCACCAAAAGTGACACAATTTCTTATTTATTTACATCGTATGCGAAGTAAAGTACGGAAGCACATGAAATGGTGATTTAATAAAGTTAAGATATTATTCAAAATACGTAATGTATATGGAGACTGCTTCTAAAAGTTTAAGCTCATATTTGACATTATTTAATACAAAAGTAGGTCCCTGTGCATCTTTGTATGTAGTGAAATACCTTAAGATTCGTTTGGTTGGACGTTTGTGACTTACTCAAGGTTTATCTTGAATTTTGAATAGCGTTTATAGGCCTTTTTACAGTACAATATTTCCATAGAAACGGAAGTAGCATTTTACGGAACTAATTTTATCTGTATATTTTAAAAATTAAAATAGTGATCAGAAAAATAAACAACAAAATCACCTAATATATATTTTTCATTAATTCAAGTTATCAACAAATATGCGATTCAATAGAGTAAATCCACATTTCTTATAAAAACAACTAACAAGTGATTGTTTATACAAAAAAACCTAACAAGTCATTAAATCCTTAATTCTCTTTACACTATTGTGAATCAAAAGTGTGTATGTTTTCGTAACAAATTTATTCATATGCTTTCATAAAGCACGCATTTACATCCTTCATAAGTTCCTATTTTCACTACAAAACTATCCTTTATTTGCTAAGCATTTTTTAATCAGTTTTATATTGTTATATTTTTGAAAACAACTGTCTCTTTTCGTTAACGATCTACCTTGTGCTGTCTCTGTATCAAGAACTAAATCAGACAAGACTAAAGGTTTCCCCTCTGTTGTTAGTTTCTGTCCTAGATAAACTGGCTCTCTCTTCATGTCCCCTTCAATGATATTCGTGTTCTTTCTTAATAAATCATAAATTGTTGACATGTCACTTGCGTAGTCCATCCTAGCCTCTCCGTCTTCGAACACAGAATTATCCCCATAACCTTAAAGATGTAAAGGAATAGTATAAGATACATTGCAAGACTTAAGGAATATCATAAAAGATTTTAAGATGTAAAGATAAAAATTTAAATTGCATTTCATGAATTCTATAGAGTTTGGTAAACAGCATGCCAAGATTTTGTAAAATATCAGTTCATAAACTTAACCATTTCTTATTGTTATAATTGCACATATTCTGTTATCGAAACATTTTTATATGACTATATTAACATATAGTATTATGAAATGATGATTATTTTTAGTATTTTATCTAAAATATTCAGTAGTTACAATTTCAAGACAATTTGTACCAAATGTTTATATACATTTCATTGTTTTAATGTCAATTATTCTTGAGTGATTTTAACAAAATGTCCCATCCCTGGGTTTGTGTATATATATGTTCTAATACCAGAAAATATATTTATATATGTGGGCGCCGTGTTTCTTATTCTTAGTAAATAATGAAAATGAAAAAAAACAACAAACAAAAAAACAAAACAGTATCTTATTATCTTATGTCCAGTAGGGTTTTTTTGTAATGTTTTAGATTATAAAATTTAAAAACCCCTACTTATGATTTTTTTAGAGTATAAAATTTTACGTTTTTACCCGAAATAGTGTAATTAAAAAAAAGAAAAATAACCGAATAATTGAAAAAAAAATTGAAAATTAATGAATACTGTTTATGTGTTTGATATTTTCTTATTGTATTCATTTCGATCAGGGTCTTTCAAATTTTAATTTAAGAATCTCGTATATTAAAATTTAGATTTTTTTATTTCATAAAAAAAATGACTTACCTAGCCTTGGTGGATATGCTGATAGTCCGAGGAAGGCGCTCACCGGCAGCCAAATTTGTGACACGCAGACGACACAAGTTAACAAACTCTTTAACGATGTCATAATCTTTTGATTTCGTTTTGAATATAACCAACTCTGTCAATGCGTCTAAATGAACTTATATAGCGAAAATGTGCGAAGTGAATTTTCATAAAAGTCCCATGTGAACATTTTAATTTTATGCAATAAGAACATGTATTTCAACACAAGTTTCAGTTTACCAGATGTCAAAGTTATAAGGAAATATTCTACCCCGCTATCTTATTATTGTTCAACTATATTGTTTGGAATGCCTTTGGAGGATATTAAAAGGTGTCATGTTTGATTTTAAAGTGGAAACTTTGGGAGGAAAATGTTTTATGTTGCATGTTAAGAGTGAATGATGATATGTTAAATGTAATATTAATGGCATAAATTCCTGATAAATTGTTGTTTAGTACGAGTTGATTTTGATTGCTCAGTTCATTTGGAGGAAGTCTGTGCAAATCTGACTTTAACTGTGATTTAGAATATGTTTAAATCATTTTAAGAGTACATTGTACTTTTTAATCTGTCAATGTTGTTTGGTTATTTTTAGTTTATTATCGACGCCGGAATAAACCGTATGACCGGAGCATACGACGTCTGCTGCTGTAGTTGCACCGGGACGTCTTTTTCATCCTGTTTTGCCAGCATCCTCTTTCTCGTTGGTTGGTGGTAAAGGAGTACAGAAGCTGCATCAAACAATCTTTCATAAATTTGCTTTTTGCAGGACAGCTCTCTCTAGTTGACGATTGGTCACCCAATTTTTCCTTGTACTTTACTTGATCTTGACCTGTCGTTGTAGTTTAGTAGTACATCCAAATCGGGAGGGATTTAGAGAATAATCTGTCCTTCTTATAACAGTCATTGCATTATTATATAGAGATTCGTAACCTGATGATATACTATTGTTTCAGTATCGTAAAAGATTAATACAATAAGTCTTAATTCAGTGCTAGGCCGCAAGTTTGTCGCAAGCACTATTTAATGAACAGACTCAATAACAACAGATACCCCAATTTTTAACTACATTAACTACTGTATTTGTTTTGTTTTCATTATTCTCAACGGGGGATTTTCTGTATCTAGAATGATTTTAAAACATTAAATTGTATAACGAACATTAGAAAAATATCATATTTTGTCTTTGAAAGTTGCTTTGGCAGTTCTTGAGAAAATGAAACACGTTTGAGCCTATTTATATACACAGAGACAGAATATGCATGGCGACCAGACGCTGGTAATACATTAATAGATACGTTTTTTTGTAGTTTAGTAGTATTTTTTTGTATATTTGTACAGGATATATTTACACAATCTAACACCATTATCTTAAGCATAGATTAAATGTATATACAAAAGCGAAAGGTTTGGACCAAAATTTTTGCAAACATCAAAGGTCTATCTTATTGGCTAAATTGTAACAAAGTAAGTGTGGACTTTAGAAATTCAAAGATGTTTAAACTTTTACTTTACTTTACTGTACATTATTTACTATTTACTATTGAGTGTAATGTAAAAATGTAAGTGTGTATTTTAGGTATCGCGTATTGGAAATAACTTTTTTGCAAAATATCTATTTAAACTAAAGAGCAATCCCATTTTCACTGATATTCATTCTGAACAAGAGGACCAAATATTACTTTCAGTTGGCGTGATTCTGTGGTCAAAGTTATGTTTGGAAAATAATTTGTTTACTGCCAATCCAAAGGCTTAAATATCCAGGGTTCATTTAGATATTAAAGTAATTGCGCGAGAATGTATAAGTCAACATAACTTTACATTAAGGGGATGATATCTGAGGCTTTATAATATACCTTAGAGACGCATTGTAATAAATATAATATTCTATATAGTGTTGAATTTCTCCGACTTAAAAGCATGTGAAGTTTTGATTTTTTTCTATAGATGACTTTCAAACAATTTGTTTTATTTGTCTAGTAAATGTATGTTGTAAAACTTTGGTATTAAAAGAGACATAAAGACAGTTAAAATGAATTTAAAAAATCCTTTTAATGCAACTGATAATTATAGATGTATGTAAGTAAATATATTGCAGACGTATCAAAAGTTGTGGGCAGACGGTACAGTTGAATTACCTTGGTAATGATTTTTTTGTGTGTTTGTACATAGACGTATAATTTAGATAAATTGATGAAAAACAACTGAAGTCGTCATCTTGATTATTTTAGTTATCTGCCCATGAAATTTAGCTTTGGCTGTTTCATGTCATTTTTCAGAGCAGATGTAGAATGGTAAATAAAGTATTCACTCGAAAATTTAATAAAAGATTAAAATCTAATATGTAGAATAATTTTGGATGAAGCATGGTTTACTGTTGTCAAGTTTCCTGGAAACTTAACTTGAAATCTCCTTTATATTGTTTAAATTGTATTTGAACGACCAATGAGATACCTTAGATTTTGAAATGACCAATAAAAATTCTACAATTTTTAATTATTATTCAATTCTTTCCGATAAATTTTACAGAATGCCAACACGCTTTCAAATGGCCTTTGGCATTGGATAAGCAGGATGTGCCCATACGAAACATTCGAAATATTGTATTTTTAGCCGTAGAGTGATGATACATACAAAAAACGGAAGTAAAATTCCAACTTCTTAAATTCTCGGCGTCATCTTCACGAATTCACACTTTAATGTTTTAAACTGAATATCAACAAATTCACGAAATCACGATTTCAACTTCATGAATTCAAAATTTTAACTTACAAATTCAACTTCATGAGTTCACGATTTTAATTTCCCGAATTAACAATTTCAAATTTAGTGAAGTTGAAATCGATAAGTTCAAAACATGATTTCACGAAGGTGAAATCGTGAATTCGTTAAGTTAAAATCGTATAAAAACAGTACAGGACACCTTTTAATAGTTGAAACACCGGTATGAACACCTTGCTTTGTGAGTAAAAACCTCTTGAAATGAGAGATCCCTCCAAGAGAAATGAAGATAACAATTTCAAGTTGAAAATTCTAGACTCGGTTTGGTTTTACAGAAGCGGGGATTGTGGGGGTTGGGGTATTGGAAAAGTATACCCGCCATTAATTGGCGGTAGCTCTACAAGAGCGGGTCAATATATAATGCAATATCAAGTGTATTTTCTAATTTTACCGGTGATTCTTGTTTTTGATTATACTTTGTTATGCTTCAAAGCTATCTAATGGTAGCAAAATTGTGTGTGTAGTCAACCGCCTATGAATTATATTCACATTTAAAAATACGTTGCGTGGAATGCATTTATGGTCACTGAGTAAATTGTTTGCTAGAACTCTATTCAATTTGAAACAAAAATGCGTATATTTGTCATAACTGTTAAATAACTTAGATTAAAAAACGTAGGTAAATACTGGTATATTTCCAGTTGTTGTCTTTTTTTCAAGATATAAAATACTTGCATTGTCAATGAATGAATAGTAAATTTTCTGGTAAACTGAAACTGTGTTCTAAACCTGTAATCAAGTACCTCAATTTGTATAATACAAAAACCAATTAGTGCTTGTATATAGATGCATGTGCTTACATGAATTTTGAAAAAGATTGATTCATGACATTGTCATATGTATCTTTTTAATGAATAAAAAATAAATGAAAATTTGTTTCTTTGTAAAACTCATAATTTGAATTATTTAAGATTATGTGTGCAAAAGCTCCCCATTTTGTGTGTATTTCAATTAGTGAACAGTGAATATTAACCCTTTTCTGTTTCACAAGTAAAAGCGTAGAGTAGTGGCTGCATTGGGAGAAATACAAATAATCATATACTGTAACGTGGAATTAGTAACACATGAAAAGAAAAAAATGTCACGGAGGCTGATCATAATTTTCATATAATGAATATGTGAAATAAAAATAAAAATACTTAATAAATTTATTGCTGTTTTATATATAATTCCAGAAATATTTTGTAATGTCAATCTTTCAATGTGAATATTATCCTTGAAATTGCTGGGTACCCATCATTCTATCTTGTAGACATTTGGCAATTAATTGACCCGAATTCTGGAAAATTCTGATACAGTTCATCCGTCTGATATTTTCAGCATGGCTTCTCCGAACTAATCTTTCAAGATCACCATTTAATGGTTCATTAGCACTATCTCTTTTGTTGTTCATGATAGCAGACGGCGACATTGCAGGGGCATAGTCACTGAGTCGTATTTCCGGTTCCGGTTGACACTCGTTTAAATATTTCCTGATGTCATCATTGTCTGCGAGTTGTGTTATGAATAAATCGTCTGTATCTTTATAAGCGTCAGATAATAGATTTCTACAAGATGATGCACCGTCTGCTTTTTGAAAAGTATTACCAACATATCCTGTACCAATATCAAAATATCAAAACGAGGATAAAATAAATTTAAGGAGAGAAATATTCGAACATTCTATCTATGTCCAATGTCAAAATTTAAGTTATTTAATATTATTTGTTTTCCGTAGAAAAAACTTCTGATTCTTTCTTGCCTTCGGTTTGTACAGAGACATATAGATAACAGAGATAGGCAACTTTATAGCCAGTTAAGATACCACTAGCTCAGTAGATATGATCTGCTATGTATTTCTAAGTGAAAGGCATGGACAGTTACCAATATTTTAACATACAGCAATAGATAAAAGATTTAACATTTTTAAATGGTGTATAATATAGAGGGGTCATATCTACATGCATTTAGCTTTACTTGTTACAAAATGCCTAACTTTTTGATAGGCATGAGTGATATTTCAATGGACTATATAAGAGCTGCTTATCTCTGTTATCTACATCTCTGGTTTGAACATTTTAAATCCAAGAAGATAAAAAAGTCAACATTAAAGTATATTGTAATTGAAACAGACTTACTGAACAAGTGTCAATTTTGTCAATCATAGTCGAGTGGTAGTTTAAATAAAACTTCAATGAAATAATACGACATTTATGCCATTTATTTTTTGATATTGAAAACCCTTTAACTTTGAATGGACTGTTTCAAATTCAAAACTGGGCAAAGCCATTACTATAATCAAGCATGGTAATAATGATACAATGACTTTTTTTAAATTGAAACTATTCTTTTAAATGTTAAAGTAAAATAGAATTTATACTAGC